GCCAATCTCCTACTACCGAATGAAGAAGCTCTAACAACCTAATCAGATTCTATCTATCTCAGGTTGCAGCAGAAATCAAGAAAAGCTGATCAAACTTCAATCAATTCAATAAAACATGCATCATTCGATTAAAACCAAACAGTATAATCATCCCGAGTCATTACAATCAAATCCCTAACACATGGAACTAGGGTTCTTCATACCCAAGTGAGAGAAGGGTTCTACTCCATAGAGAGAGAGAGGAAAACAGAATACAAAGCAGTCATACTCATAACAATGGGAAGAATCTGCTCTGGGATGATGGTTTCCACTCCTATGACGATCTCCAAGCTCGATTTGATGAAACCCAGCTCCAAGATTGTTTCTAGGATGTGTTCTTCGCACTTCTCTCTCTCTAGGGCTCTGTTTTTGCTCTCAAAAGTCGATTCTCTCACTTGTGGCCCGAAATTGGGTAAAAACAAGAAAATCCCGATCACACGGGCAGGCCACACGGCCGTGTGGCATACCCAGATGCCCGTGTGAGGTCAAAACACGGCGTTTCAAATAACTCCACTTCAGGCTACCTACACGGCCAGGGACACACGACCGTGTGGCTCACCCAGTCTGCCCGTGTGAAGCCTTGCATAATCTCACACGACCACATTGCTCCTTCACACGGCCGTGTGGGTTTTATTCCTGCCCGTGTGAAGGCTCGCACAATCCCACATGGCCACATTGGTTACTTGCACGGCCGTGTGGGTTTTGTGTGTGCCCGTGTGGCTTTCTCAGCGACTCGGCTCACGCCGGATCTTCGTTCGATCGACCCCGAACTTGCTCCCAAACCTTCATTCACGTACTAGGACCTGAAATATCACAAACAAGGACAACCTAGCGTGAAATCGGCCTAAAACTCGAGAATCAACATCTCAAACGGCTCAAGAAAAGGGGTGAAAACATGTGCAATTAACGGTTTATCAGCTTTTCATTTTGATCCAATTCTCCTGGTAGTTGATGTTGAACCTAAATCCAAAATCGAGACATCACGTTTCCCTCCTCCTTAAGAAAAATTTCGACCTCGAAATTTGTTCGTTGTGACGACTCCAAGTTTTACTTGTGATAATCTCTTTGCAAGGAGTTGTACGTCCTTCTAGCCTTGATGTATTGATCCCATGACATCTTGTTAGGCTCCCTATGATATACTTAGTTCTTCCTTTGCTTTCTTAGGTGGCCCTAGTATTTTTCCAAGTCTAACTTTCAGCTGCTCTTTGTAGCCCTATGTTCAATTCTCCTGAACTCCACGGCCCTTCCTTGCACCCTTTCCTCTCGATTATGGCTACATTTTCCCTACCTCCTTGGGTCTACCAGTCGATGTACTAACTGATTGGCTCCTTCCAGAACTTTATTCTGATCAGCTCATAGCCCCATAGAATATGAGCTACCTTGACCCTCCTCTTCTCACTCATGAAGGGGTTTCACTAAACGATCCCTCTAGGAACCTGCTCCTTCTCCTTCCCAAGACGTATTATAACCCCATGGGCATCCAAAAGTTATTTCCTTATTATGATTAGAGTATACTGGAGATTCTAAAAATTTCTGAAAGACTCTGACTCATTTGGCCAAACTTTTAACTGTACTCCCTTTTTCCTTTCCTTTTAACAACTGAAACCTTGAAAAATGCAGATCGTCACTCCAGTATTCCTTGGAGGCTAAGGAACAGAGGAATGCCGGCTCTGATACCAAAATGAAACTACCCGATCTTTCTAGAAAACCAAACCACAACACAAACCGAAAACCGGTTACTCCGGAGCAACCAAACCACTTTTTTAAAATAAACTAAACCTACAATGTTTAAGAATTTCAAACAAAAAGCCTGAACACTTGGAAAAATGTCAAACCCGATACTTAAAATGAATGAACTCGGAATCTCCAGTCTACACTCCTAACTATGTAACAAAGGAATTAAACTATTCTAGCTCTGACTCTTCACGAGTTCCTTAACTTCTCCTCAATGCTGGTGCAAGTACTCGTCTTGCCTTGCCTCTTCTCAAAATCTGCCTCTGCTACCATTCCTCGACTTGGTGAGTGAGAAGGGTTCAGTCTCGTCGTTCCTTCCTAAGGTCTTTGCCCTAGACAAACTCCTTACTAAACACATTATTAGGTGAACTGCCTTCCTTAGACGAAAGTCGTTCTCACTTTCATCCCTTAAACTTTTCTATCAAACAGTCTATAAGAGATCTCTACTCCTATCTTATCTTTAGAAATCCCTTACTCAAATTCTTAATCCAAAGACACCAACACAAGGGACCACCGCGTTACGTCTCGCTATCCGGTGTCCCTACCCTAGTATGCCAACCGCGTTACGTCTCGTCGTCCGGTTGCATACCCGAATTCGGAAATGGCACTGCGTTACGTCTCGCCGTCCAGTAGTGACCCAACATACTCGATCAACTGCTGCGTTACGTCTCGCCTTCCAGCAGTGACCCGACCATCTACCGCGTCCAGTAGTGGCCCCACCGCCCGGGGGTTCCTCTTACCATTAACCAACTATTACATTCATACATCCATACATTCATACATAGCACAACGCGTGCCTCCTTCCTTACAGGCGGTGGGATGCCTCACACACATATCGCGCATGCTAGAAAATTGACTAAATAATAACTTGAACGAAAAGCAGAAACTAAAAGACCTACGACAAAGATTTTACCCCCTTTACACTCATCTCGAAAAGATGAATCCTCAACTCCTTCCTCGAAGAAACCCCTCCTTAAAATTTTCTAGAATTAATCCCTTCAAAAACGACCATTTTTCTTAATTATTTTAGTCTTGGATGGATTTTCACCTAACTTGAACCTTCTTAAAATTTTGCAAAATAATTTTCCCATGTCAATCATGAGTACCTATACCCTGGAAAATTTACAAACCCTTAAAAACCCCTTGGAAAGCTTTTTAATTAATTAAAACGAATATTACAACAATTTCTAAAAATAGCAATACATCTCCAAAAATCCCCAAATTAAATTAAAATCATCTCCTAGACGTCGTTCGATTTATAAAATTGCTAAATTTAGAAAACAACCTTCAAATAGGCTCGAAACATATAAAACATCCAAAAATACGCTTTTGAAAATTCCCAGCAGTTTTAGTGACCATTCAAAATTTGTCACTAAAAGCCTGTAATGCCTGTTGCTAAAACACTGAATTGCACCCTCACGAAAAATAACCAAATCGATCGATCTAACTCAAAGGGATCGAGTTCACTTACCTCTAGAACGAGCCTAGGCCTAGGTTGGATGTCCCGGGATGTTGATCTCCTCGTTGATCGAACCCTCAACGTCACCGCTAAAAAAATACGAGCTTCGGATTAGACTATCAATGAATCGAGTTTAGAAACCGCGAAGGATTTCGCGATCCTTACCTAGACGAAAGGGATGGGGTCGGGGTTGGGGCGGCTTCTTCTTGCTCGCGATGGGGAGCAGGGGTGGCGGAATTAATTCCATGGCCACAAAAAGAGAGGCGGCGGGGCAATTAGCGGAAGGGGAAGGGTTTTTGGGGATTTCTACGTGGGGGGAACAATTGATGGTGGGGAAAATGTTAGGGTGGGGGTTTGGGATTAATGAGGGCCGCTCGGCCCTCTCGGCCCCCTCTTTATATAATAATAATAATAATAATAATAATAATAATAGTTATTATTATTATTCCTAATCTGCGGTTATAACTCTTAGTACGTAACCGTCAATCCAATCGATTTCAAATTGAGGTCGAACTTAAAACCAAAATACCGGGGTGTTACAAATGATGTGAATGAGAGTGGAGGAGAGCCTCTCAAGGAAAACCCAACCATTACTTGTGTTTCTTTTGGTGATGTTGAGCAGGAAGTTAAGAAGGGTCCTATGCCCAAAGGATCGAGGATGAATGCTTAGAGACGAAGGATGAAGGGAGCTTTGGCCCGGAAGATGGGGGAGGCCGAAGCAATGTTGGCCAACCAAGAGGGCCAACTCAAGGAGCCTAAGATGGGAGGCTACAAGCCTCGCACCGAGAGTGTGTTGGATTCGCTCTCGGTGACATCACATTTGTAGTCGTGATCGATCCCCAATCGTCAAACTAATGACGATAAATTAGCACTTGTTGGGAGGCAACCCAACAGAGGTTTGTTTTCTTTTCCTTAGTTTTCGTTTTATTTTCTTATGAAGAGTTCGAGTGGTGAAGTGGTGTCCCCGTGCCGAGTGTTGTGGTTTTGCGGTTTATGGTTGTGTTGTGATCGATTAGGAGGCACGGAGGAATAGGCTGAGTCAAAATTTTATCAAAAGTGCCCTGTTTTCACTGATGTTCACGGACGGATTGCTGAGTTCACTGTCTTATAAAACCGTGAACATGAAAACGCATCCGTGAACTGGTTACTTATGCATGATCACCACTTGTCGACCAACCGCAGTACACCGACGCGCTTGAGTGTTCACGATCTCTAAGACCGTGAACTGGGCAACGCATCTTTGAACTCAGAGCCATGCCTATAAAAGGGGCGTGAACGGTGACTCTTCACTTCACGACCAAATCCCACCGGAAAATTTCAAATCTTCGCCGGAAAAAGCGAAACTTCGTCGGCTAGCAATCTAATTAGCCACCTTAACCTAATTAGAGAGGAAAATCCTCCTTCCAAGGGAGAGTCAATCGAGTTGGTTTTCCTTCATCTTTTTAAGGCACCTAACTAGGTTAATTTAGGGCAACCCTCAATGTTGAATTAACCAAATCGGTTAATCGCGATTAAGCCGTCCGACCTTTGAGTTGAGTGAGGGAGTAAGTCAACTACCGATTGCCTAAACCGAGAGGGTCGAGTGACACGGCCTATGATGTTTACCTCGGTTTAGCAATTGAGATTGTTGTCTCCGACCATATATGCATCCCTCTGCGGTTCGCGGTTACCTTGCCCAAAGCAATCGTTCCAATTCACATATCTTGGTAGTAGTTAGGGGGAAGCGACACCTGATTGATCCTTCCACAAAAGAGTTTTCAAAACCATTTACCTTTGCCCTATTTTATTATAATTAGCAAACTTTTAAACCAAAACTTTGTTGCTAGATACTGATTAAAATGATTGAAGTAGGGGTAGACGGACCGACCCGGGTTGATATTTAAATACTTGCTCTATACTGCACCCCATTAGAGTTTAAAAACTTGGACTCTAGTCGGAATTATATTGTGGTGTAGTTTCGTGCGAGTTACTTCCCACGACCTCCATATTCGGTGTCAATCTCCTCTAGGGATTTCTCACCGGCCGAATCTCATCATGCATCAGGATCCGGTGGCAATAGAAATTGGGGCTGCTCCCTCGGATATCGGTGATCTTCCAGGCCAGAGCTCGCTCATACTACTTAAGCAAAGCCACCAGTCTAGTCTTCTTCTAAGGTGTGAGGGTCAAGCTAATGATAACTAGGAGCTTGTTCACCTCCCAGTGAGGAAGGAGAGGCTTTAGCTTTAGTCCAAGTGAGGAGGGAGAGGCTTTAACTTTAGTTCTGGTGGCTCTTCTAAAGAGGTGGTGATATTGGTTGAGGATGAGATCGACTTGAACGAATTCTCAAACTACAAGAACTCGCCACGATCTAGCGCTTCCAACTGCTTCTCCAGCTGCAGCTCCTGCGATGCCTGGCCACCTAGCAAAATACAGCGCTCAAGGGCATCATCAGCACCCGCACTCGTGATGGCGTCAGCCGTTTCAAAATCAGCAATAATGTCACAGTAACCAAGTCATCATGCATGTGGGAATTCGCATTGTTAGACACATAAAATGTAGCTTGTTCATCATCAGTCCTCCAAATTAACTTGCCACTATGCACATCAAACAATGCCTTGGCGGTGGCGGGAAATGATCTACCCAAAATCAAAGGCACATCCACATCTTCATTTATGTCCAAGATAAAAAAATCAACAAGATATGTGAATGCTCCCACGTTAACAAGCAAGTCCTCAATGATACCCCTAGGATGCACAATCAAACGTTCAGCTAAATGAATACTCATCCTAGTGGTTCTGGGTTCACCTAGGTCTAGATTCTTAAACAATTTATAGGGCATGACATTAATGCTAGAGGCTATGTCCGCCAAGGACTTTCCTACATGCATGTTGCCCATAACAAGAGGGATATTAAAAGTCCTAGGGTCTTTTTGCTTCTCAGGCAGTTTGTTCTCCATGATGGCAGAATACTCCTCTCTCAGCATCACTATCGATAGATCCCCAAGTTTCTTCCTATTGGCGAGGAGATCCTTCATGAATTTTGCGTACTTGGGCATCTTCGACAGTGTCTCCACGAATGGTATGCTGATGTTGATCTGCTTAAATATTGTCATGAACTTAGAAAACTCACTCTCCAGCTTGTCCTTGTGCATACGAGTGGGGAAAGGAAGCTGGGGAACATGATCCTTAAACCACTAGCTGTGGTTTGAGAGCAGGTGCTTCCTTCTCAACCTCCACTTACTCATCTTCGGATAAAAGTGCTGAAACATATCTTGGTTCATCCTGCCTAAAAGGAGCGAGAATTGCAACCGTCGTCTTTCCACTTCTTGTAGTAATGGCATCTAGCTGCTGGTGAGGCTCTCAAGGATTTGGGATGGGTCGGAAGGTTGAGTCACCTACGGTCTAGTGGCATTGTTTCGGGCTATGCCTCCAATATGGTTATGGAGGTCATGCAAATGGAATTCTGATTCCTCTGACCTGCCTCCAGTTCATTGATTTTTCTTATGGAAAAATCAATGAATTGGTCCATCTTGGCGAACTTGAGTATTGGTACTCATGAAGGTCGTCACCAAATTTCTCAGCTCGGATATCTAGTCACCTTGTGCTGGGGCTGCTAAATTTTTTGTTGCTGCGGCTGAAGGGTTTCCCCTGTTTGGGATGGAATGGCTGCTGGAATTGACCCTGTCGGGTCAGGGACTGCTGCCTCTGGGGAAAGTCACAAGTCGATGGCGCGAAGCTAGGAGGTTTGGTGTTGTTGTTGTTGTTTCTGCCACCCCAGGAGAAGTTGGGGTGCTAACGCCACCCCTCAATATAAGTATGGTTGTAGGCGTTGAGGCGTCGAGCGTTGGCAATGTAGTCCAACTGTTCATGTGGGGTGGTGGATTTTTGCATGGCCTGACAGTCTTCCACCAAATGGGGTGGTGCATTTTTGCACTATAGAAGTTCCCGACGGTGAATGCATCACTGAAACCATGGTTGGGACACTTCCAAGATAGTCTATTATACCGTTCCAAGCATCTCGCAACGATTCATCATCTTCTTGACAGAAATGGGTGATCTCCCGTTGAATCTCGAAAGTCTTCAAGACTGGATAGTACCGATGGACGAATTTGCCAGCCAGATCACCGAGTCGTGGAGTGTAGAAGTACTCCATGGTATGCTCATGCGGAGGCAGCTGATGGTTGGCCCTGTCCGCCTGCGGGTTGCTATTGTTAGGCGGAGCCTGATTCAGTGGAGGAACTTGGAGAGGCATATTTAGGTGAGGCTGCCCTTGGTTCAGAGTTTGATTTTGCTCCAGGTTCAAGTTGTTCATCCTATTGTGTTTGTCTCCCATTTCGTCCACCTACTCAGAATCGCTGCTTATCCGGCCGTCGACTTGCTTTTCCTCTAGAGCCAGTCTCGCTTTTAGTGCTTTCTTAGACCGACGACAGGTCCGTTCAAGTTCCTGATCCAACGTCAGTAATCCTCCCGATTGGCTACGGGTTATGCACTACCTGCACACAAGCTACATGCAAACCCGTGAAGGCAAAAGGGGAAAAGGAAAAGAAAACAATGCAGAAAGGAAATGCTATATAAAGTTACAGAACTCACGTTTCTTCAACAACCTAGCCATCCATGGCAACGACACCAAAAACTTGACTCGCCAATACCGTCACACTAAAAAGTGGCCAAGTGTAACCATAAACTAATGCGTAGCATAGCGGGTTTAGCTTTATTTGTCAACCCGAGTCATAAATGTAATGACTACTCCATGAAGTTCTCGTTATATAGCAATTTGAACGTAGTGAAGTAGTATCTATCCTAGGCAAACACAAAGCAGTAAAGTTTTGATTCAAGTTCGAGAGAGGTCACCCGGACATGGTTACCCCTAGATTGCAGCTAAGCCAAACTGTAATTCACAAAGTTCATATATAATGATAGTAATACTGCGGAAGGTTCTTATTTAGTATGAAGTCTCGACTAAAGGTCTTCAGACCTTCCCAGTCAGAATATCCCGCGTGCGACTAACCTCCACAAGAATTAGCAAGTTTCGGGTCATTCGAAGATCGAAAATTTGCAAGTTTCCCATTCAAGGTCGTGCATTTTCCCACCTCTTGACTAAGTGAAAGGGAGAGTTTCCAAAAAGCACGAGATGAAGACCAAAACCACGACCTTTCTTGTCGCCATGCTTTTGCTAGGACGCGGGTATGGCTCAAGTTCCTGTCAGTAACCCCATGGTTACTCATTATTAGTAACTAAATCTCTACTATCCGATTTAAGTGAGCTCATAAAATCCAGATCTAACGGTGGAAAATTGAAGGCATTTTTATTTTCCTTTCTTTTATTAATCGGCTCATATCTTCTTCGTTTTAGCTTGGATTTTAATTATTTTTTTTTGAACAGATGAAATGAGTTCGTTGTGCTCTACAAAATGAGATCAATTTTAAATATTTTTTGAGAAAAAAATTTATTGCGGCTCGTTACCAACAAGATACCATATGGTATCTTTTATGGATCTACAAATTTTCTGGGTGAACAAAATACATGCCCAAAATACCACACAATACAACCCAATACCACCATAGTATGGGTGGTATTTTATGGTACACTATGTTGAAAGTCGTAAATGACAGTTAGTATACTCCTACTATCACGTATTCAATCATCTTACAGTTTTGGTAGGTTCATACCACCATTGTAAGCTTTTTCATACCATATGCTATGCTATTATTCAATACCATATGATATATACTCGTAAAAAATGGCTCAATTTTTCTAGTTTAAAAAATATATCAAAGTCGATATCATTTTGAAGAGCACAATTAATCTGACCTAACTATGCAAAAAAATTAAAGGGGAAAAATTAAAGGCTTTCTAGGAGAGAGAAAGACCGCTGATGTGACGGATGGTAATTGAGTTCTGCATAGTTTTTTTTTTCTTCGGTAATTGGCTTTGCTTTTTATTGCTCATTCACTTGATCAAAGTGATCAAGTCATCAAAAAACGAAACTGTGAAATGAAGCACGGTTTACAAGTTACTTTCTCTAGCTATGGACTTTATAACAAATGACTAATTGCCAACTCATTACAAAATTGCATATTTCCTATACTGAGCAGTCTGATTTCTTACCTTATTATCTGCTCAATTGCACTGTTGCTTCATGGATGAGCTCCAAAAACTCGATCATACCTTTCCTTCCATGTCCAACTGATCACCCAACACCATAATGCTCCAAAGACTCTGCCTTGCGAGTTGCGCATTGTTATGCTGTGCCAATAAACAAGCAACTTCCAAATACTGCTGCCAGAACCTGAGATTAACCTGCATAATTCTGGAAACAAAAGGCTGCAACACTGCAACCGAGAATGAACAAGCAAGGAACAAAGAAGTCGAAACCAGGGAACTGATTCTGTTTGTCCCCTAATAGAGTTCCACACTTGTTTGACATAGTACTGTCAGAGAAACCGTATGGAAGAGAACGATTGAAGGCGTGATTAGATCACTCTCCTTAGAGTGTTTATTTGCCCCCACTACTTTGTTGCTGGTAGGATTTAGGCAAACCACCCCCAGGAGTCCCTCCAATCAAAGTCAGAAAGCAGCACCTTTCTTGACTTCTGTGTTTGTGTTTTTGAAGAAGGAAAACGAGGAGAAGAAGAAGAACGTTGGAACAGAAATTCTGCTGCAGAAGACTTTTATAGTGAAAATGGCAGTTCCCTTCCGAAGGGTTGCGTCGTTTCACAAAACTCAAAATCAAATAATTATCCGGAAAAATTAATTAAAATAATTCCGGTAATTAATTAGCCAAAAATTCAAATCCGATTTAATATGTCCAATTAAGTGATTAAGTGCGATTTAATATGTCCAATTAAATAGCCCACACTTTTTCCAAAAGCCCACTAACCACTTTATCCAATAACTAAAGTGGAAAGCAAACTAAAAACAACTTGCACTTTCTTTCTCCCACCAATGTGGTATTTCCTTTACTCTTTGACTACTCTAACAATCCCCCACTTAGTCAATAAGAGTCGAGAATACCTGCCTTGAACAAGTAACGCATCTCAAAGTTAATAGCGAATCAATGACGGGCTTAAGCCTAGGAGTCAAGATCCAAAGCTAGAACCGGAGACACCACACACGTACTAGTCTCTTCTCTAAAACACAACCACCAACAAGGGTAGCACTATTATGGCCATGTGCTTATCCTGTTTCATGAGCTTATACAAAAGTTGACCTTTACTTTTGTTAGAGCGGCACCACTCCAAATGCTCACATAGGTGACATTCCAAATGAACGTCATTAAGAGTTCTCTAACTCACCCTTCTTACAACTAATTTACTTGTATAATAAACTAGTTCCCAGTTAGAGTAACTTGTTATTACCACATTGAACCTTTTAATTAGGGAATATCTAAAGAAAAGGTTGGGTTTCCATTACTTCTAACTATACAAAAGGTCTCAATCCCATCCCTTGGGATGTCTCATAGATCATGCCTCTTGGCAGCCCCTTTGTAAGAGGATCTGCCAAATTGTTGCACGACCTTACATACACAATAGAAATGATTCCGTTAATAATCAAATACCTAACGTAGTCATGTCTTAGGCTAATATGTCTAGACTTACCATTGTAAATCTTGTTATAAGCTCTAGACAAAGTGCTAAGTGCGTAGTGCGATTTAATATGTCCAATTAAATAGCCCACACTTTTTCCAAAATCCCACTAACCACTGTATCCAATAACTAAAGTGGAAAGCAAACTTAAAAACAACTTGCACTTTCTTTCTCCCACCAATGTGGTATTTCCTTTACTCTTTGACTACTCTAACAAGTACTTATGCATCAGATTACCTTCCCATAGAACCTGCCCCTCTCCTTGACTAGTAAGTCTATGCTGAAACCAAGATCTTACCCTCATCAACTTTCTCCATATCCAGGATCCCGTAGAAGTCAGCTTTAAAATCCAGAAGTCTCTGTTTTTCAATCACAAGGTTATGCATAGAAACTGCTCCCTTCGAGTATAACATAGAGTTGTTGCATTTTTGGCAAGAGATCTATGTTCTAGCAAATATGGGTCATATTACCACCAGAGCTCAAATCCATCTCTTTAGAGTGATGATCATATTTTTGAAGTAGATTCCTAGTGTTTACATGACGATGACTACTTCTACTGATGTATTCCTCTCTCTCTCTCTCTCTCTCTCTCTCTCTCTCTCTCTCTCTCTCTCTCTCTCTCTCTCGTGGAGTAATCTTTTTTCTCACTTGGCTATGAAGGACCCTAGTATATATGAATGTTAGAAATGATTGTTGTTTAATCTTTGGTTTGTTTAAGTCGGCGTTATTTATCCAATTGGGCTATTATTCATGAATTCTTTGAGTTTTTTATCACACTCTTCGATTATTGCTTTAACATAGGAGAGCTCGTACCTGATTAGGTTAATGGAGCACCTTCAATTGACAGTAGTGAATCAATTGCGCGAATAGTGAATTGATTCACTTCTTTATAATGGATTTCATCAATCAAGTAGTAGAATCTTTGCTCCATTGCCTTTGTACTAGACAAAAATAGTAAAAGTTTCACTTGTTGACAACCATTATTATTGTTTGGATTTGTTGTTTTCCTAGAAAATTTGTTTAGGATTTGATGTCCAACCTATAAAAGACTTGTTGTCATTCATTTGATGTAATGCTCTTGAAATGACTTTGAAATGCAATTTGAATATGGGTGTGTAACATCTTTAACTAAGCCATTGCCAAACTATCTGTTATTTATTTATTTATTTTTCCAGTTAACTGTTTCGTTCTTTGCTTGTTCTTTTTCTTTAGGCAAGCAAACTTATACGTGTTTATCTTTGGGTTAATACCTTATTTTGGCCCCAACTATGACCATATAATCAACTTTGGCATGTGGTTTTAGAAATTAACATCCTGGCCTGAACTTTGCACCATAAATACTCATTTGGCTCAGATCGTGGTTTGACCGTTTGTTTGGACGGTCAACACTGTTGACCGTTAGTCAACTGTCCAGGTCATCCCCATGTAATCAACCAAAGAAATAAAAAATTCGGAAATGAATTTTCTTTCTTATTAACAAGAAATTCTCCGAATGGAAAACCCCAAACTCATAATCACCGGAACCAATTCTTGATTCCCTGTATGAAACACGAAAGCTTCGCCAAAATCGTCGGCTTGCTTCTCCTCTTCACCATTCTCTTCCTCGCGTTACTGCCCTGGCTCAACGATCTCCTCGTCGGCGGAGGTCGCGCCAGCCTCCTGCAATTCGATTCCGCCGCTATAGCCCGAGCCCTAGCTTTCGGAATCACAATCCATCCTCCAACACTGCTGCTCGAATACCACCCCCCGCCCCCGGGTCCCGCCTCCTCCTCTTCCACCATATCCTCCCTCGCTCCTTTCTTTCCCGCTGCCGCCACCAATCCTCCTCGTCTTCCATAATCGCATCCCCCTTTTCCTCCTCCTCCCAAACCGCCGCATTCGCCGACCAGCTGCCGCTCTTCCGTCCTTCCGCCTTATTAAAATTAATCGAATTACGATACACCTTCTTCAACTTCGCTACAGCGATGTTCTGGCTGGCCTCCGCCGCGAGCTTCTGCTCCACCGAAACGGGGACTCTCCACCGGCACAACGCCGTCTCCTCCTGCGCCCTTCTTGTCAGCTCCTCGTATTCCTCCACCGTCAATTCAACAGTCCCGTACTCCGCCTCCGTCGACATCGCGATAACCGCCGCTGCGTCCTCCGTCGAAGTCGCGAACTCCTCGGTCTCGATCCGCACCGCGCGGAGCTTCAATTGAAGCGAGCAGAGGCTTTGCCGCCGCACACGGAGGACCTGCTTCATCTTCATCCGCTCCCTCCACTGCTCATCGACCTCCATCTTGATCGCCTCCAGATCCTTGCAGCTCTGGTCGACGGCCAGCGTCAATTCATTCGTTGCCTTCATCGCCTTCACTTCGCCCTCCACCTTCGACCTCACCCGCCGTTGAGTCGCCCCCAACTCCGATTTCAATTCCGAGATCGCTGCCCTCGCTGCCGATCCCCTGTTCTTGGCGGCGTCCAATTTAGACTGCATCTTCTCGAGCTCTTCGATCTTCGACAGCAGCAACGGCGTCTTCAAACGCCCGGCCACCCCTGCATTTTACTCGGGGAAGAACTGAGAAGAAGAATTGGTGGATAGGGTTAGGGATTTTTTGGTTTTGCAGGAAGAAGGAAAGAGGCGAGAAGATAAGGGTGCGATGGGTGGTTGACAGATTTTTTTTGTTTTTTTGTTTTTTTTTTAATTAGGTAAAGGAAATAAGAAAGAAAATTCAATTTCGAATTTTTTATTTCCTTGGTTGCTGACGTGGCGATGACTTGGATAGTTGACTAACAGTCAACGGTGTTGACCGTCCAAACAAACGGTCATGCCAAAGTTCGAGCAAGGATGTTAATTTCTCAAACCACATGTCAAAGTTGATTATATGGTCATACCATCTGTTTCTAAAAACAACAAACAACAGTAGTACGTACGAACCCTAATGTGTAGTCGCACCATCTGTTATTAGCTGCTTATTTTGAGCCTAATGCCAACTTATTTTGCTATTCTCTCTTCTATTTCTTCCTTCTGTCCCACGCGTGTGATAATTTGGGTCGAAAGAGACCCATAAGCTAATTTCAAGCATTCCTTGAACGTCATAAGTACTCGTAGCTAAGAGTACTCTCTTCAGTGGTGGTGCTTTGATGGCTTCACATCGATAGCAAGCTTTTGGCCACCGGTGGCACAGTGATCGGCCATGCCACAAATGTACCATTTTTTCCCAGGAGACGTCAGCTTGACAATGTCGTATCCAGAGGTTAGTGCGTGCTTCGCCGACGACGGTATTATACAGTTTTGGTATTGGTGTTTCGTCACTTTAAAAACGTTGTGTACAGTCTCACTGTACAGGAAAACTGCACAATCAACAATCATCAGAAAAACTGATGCGTCAGAAATTGGTATTTACATAGAAATTATACATATAGCGATGTGTATCGTAACCTAGTCAAACATGTCGTATACTAGACAATATCCATCGTTCTCGTCCATGTAAAGGACCAATATAAATGCAATAATTTATTTTATAATCCCACACAAAACGGAACCCACATATATACTTATCGTTGAAATGGACGAGTACAGTGGAAATTTGCTGGTATACGACATACACTAGGTTTCGCCTGTTGTATGATAGAACCAACTATATATAATTGTCATGCTCATGGTGTATACAATATTCCAGGTAGGGGTGGCTATTTGGACCTGGACCGGGTTAAAAACCGGAAACCGGACCGTATAACCCGGACCGAGACCGGACCGGGACCGGATAGTAAACAATTCAATCCAATCTTTGGGCTTAGATTTGAGGTAAAAAACCGGATAAAGACCGGATAAGAGAGCTCAACACCCAAAACTTAAGGGTAATTTGCATAAACGGTCACAAACCTTTGCACTTAGTACAAAACTTAACCAACTCCTCACCCTTTAAGGCCTTAGGCCACTCAAATCCCACAATCTCAATGTAAAATCAAGACCGAATTGGGACCGGACCGGATCAAAACCGGACCGGATCAAGACCGAACTGTATCCAATCAAATCTTCGGTCCTTATATTTTCAAAAAGACCGGACTGGACCGGATCAATTTGGGCCAATTTAACCGGACCGGACCGTATAGCCACCCCTAATTCCAGGTATTCTTATTGAGATTCTTCTGTATAGAATATAAATTAAACCGAGTTTGGGGTGTAATGCTATAGCCTAACCTCTAAAGCATACATCTCAGACCCCGATTCTCTAAACTAAAACCCAAAAATAAATTTAATAGAAAACAATATGTGATCGTTAAAATTGGTTAGAGCTCATAAGATTAAGGATAAACATTAATTATTAGTCAAACTTTACCGCATTCTTTTTTATTAATTACTAATAGTTAGTCAGGTGGTAACTTCCAGTTAGCAATATAATAGTAATATGACCGGGCAACATGACAATAACTTAAAAGAGACACATGTATGTCAACAATCCAAAACTTTAATATTTTAAATAATAAAAAATTTACAAAATCATTTATGGTATCATAAAAATGGATAATATTTTGATGTATTACAAAAAATTTGGTTAATTATTAGTAATTCAATAGGTTTAACTAATAAAAAAGAAAGCAAAAAAAGTTTAGCTAATAATTAGTGTTTACCATAAAATTAATCAAACGATGAGATAACTTGGAGGAATGAATGTTTGTGCCCACTTCAAATAATGAATGAATGAATGAATTAGTAATTAATCACCAAGCTTATCCCCGACGTGAAATGTCTTGCCCTTTGCCCAAGTTACGTAATCGACGCCTTGGTCCCAGCCTCTGCTATCGCCCACCATGAACTTGGTGGACTTGGTGGCGAGAATCGTCCATGGAGTGAACGAAACAGCCGCCAAAACGACCCAAGCCAACAAAACCTGGGGAGACACGGATCGGGGCTTACGCACCATTGCCAGAGATTTTCCTGCGTTTTGATTTTTCTCGGATGAATTACAATGCGTTTTTGTTTGTTTTTTGTTTTGATTAATCTGACCGGGGAGAAGGTGTATATATATAGATAGAGCTTTATTGGGACCAATTAATTATAGGAGCGGTGCCGGGGTTTCACGAGAGATTCATTACGGTCCATTGACGTACAACAGCTATACCAGTCGGGCGTCGACATCATTGCCTGCCAAATCGGGGAGGTGTATATTTATTTAATTGGGAGACGCATACGATGCTAGAAATGAGAAAATGTTTTTTTTTTTTTTTTGGTTGTATTTTTAGAACGAAAATGTTGCTATGACTTGACAGGATATCATGGTTTATACACGCTTGTTTTTGTAATCTTTTCTATAATATGTATCTATTTAATCATAGAAAAACTAGTATCTTGTGCGTGTGTACGTAGATAACACATCTCGTATTAGTGAATCACGTAAATTTATTTATTGTTTACTTTCTTATATTGTCGATTTTACGATGCGTTCTAACAAAAAATATTCTCCATGTAGTATTACTATATATAAAGCTAAAATATCAAAAGATAATTACTGTTATTTGTAGATCCAATAGATCATGATGAACTTCTTCCTTCTATGCAAAAATTTTAAAAAATGACATAAAAACGAAAAAATTACCATATGGTATACAATTGGTAATGAGAGGCAAGATTTTTTTTTTCACAAAAAATATTGAAAATGGATTTTATTTTGTAGAACACAACGATCTCGTTCCATCTATGGAAAAAAAAAAATGAAATCAGAGTTAAAACGAAGAAGATATAAGTCGATTAACAAAAATAGAAAAAATAATAATGTATTTAATTCTTCATCGTTAGATCTAGATTTTCTGAATTAAGGATTCAAATTTAGTTAATGATGGTTCCCTAGCGGCCTAGCCTCAAATTATACAGTACCCCTAAATTCACTGTAAAACGGCAAAATTCTCTCCCTCTCTCTATATTGTTATTGTGATCAGCGTTGGCATTGAGTTAATGCGTGGGAATATTGATATTCCATTTAGTGTCAGATAGTGTATCCTATTGTCTGTGTAGACAAGCAAAGTAGTAACTTAGACATTCGGTTTTCAAAATTTCAGAATCTACAAGCCGTTGTTATCTCGATCTTCTTGTTGTTTTAACTTTCAGTTCATACTTTCTGAGGTGTTTATTTCTTATTTTTCTGGCCCGTTCCATTCGCGTTAGTAATAATGAAATCAGATGAAAGAAACATACTTTGGCTAGTTTCGTTACGTTGAAATAACGATACGCTGACGGAAGGTGTATGGTTGTCAAAAAAAAAATCAAGTTAAGAGTCTTATGTAGCGTACAAATATGAAGTTTTTTTTCGTGAATAAAATATGAAGTTGGGGGGAGTAATTTAGGAACGAATAAAATATGAAGTGTTACTCTAGCAGGTACGAGGCGGGTGGGTTTACCCACTCCTACATATTATTTGAAAAAATAATATGCAAAATTAAAGGGGAAACACTTAATGAATGAAAAATAGTAACAATAGAATGAGTAATTTAGTCTAACTAGTTGAAAGATCAAGTGTAACTAGTTGAAGAAAAGTCAGAATAGGAGAAATATGAATAGATATTATAAGAAATCGAGATAGCATGGGCCAAGATTGAGGTGGGGCATGGCGGGTTGAAAGTAGTACTCATGCCCTGCCCCACGCTACTATGTGTCAGTTAATACCCTCCCATCACGGGTCAAATCAGGTAATACATGGCGGGACGGGTTTAACTAGGCTTCAAAGTATCCATAGAATAGGCCATACAATTCGTTCACACACACATATGGTAGCACGTGTAACTTGTCGAAGTTTCATCCACCACAAACTACCATAGTTTTCCACCCGACCTTGACTCACTTTTAGAGAAGGACCCTTTTGCGGCTTCTTCACCAAGCCAAAGCCATACCATCATCGATCCCTCTTGGTGGATTCTATGGTCATCAATCAAGGTTGTATTTACATGGTTTGGAGCAAAGAGATCAATAACGAAGAAGGAAAGAAGAATAGGTCTCGTGGTGGACCCTCAAATCTTACCAAGTTCACGAGCCATTTAAAGACTCCAAACATATGTGTATGAAAAGTAGTAAAAATAGAATTCTCCGCGGTATCGAGTCAATCAATCTAGGGTTGTATTCAACAATGACCAAATGACAGAATTTGGGGGATTCATGCCTATGTGAGCTCCCACCCTTTCTTAATCACTATTCTTCTTTGCCTAGATAACAAACCTATGTTGAAGGAACGGTACATCATGTGTATTCCTAACTTGTGCAAGCTTCATCCACCCAACCTCGTCCTCATCCTGGACACCATTTGCTTCTTCAAACACCTTTCCTTCTTTGCAAATTTTTTCCCCTCATTGGGAACAACTCGTCATGTTCTTTGATGCTCACTTCCTCCTCTTCAACCTCTTTCCTCAACCTTTCTCCCTCTTCATCAAGCATATGTCGGATAGCAAGTTTCCAATCCATGTATCTTCGACAAGGTCATCTTGCTCCGCCACCTTTGAGATTGGGTCTTCAAAGTTTTTCTTTGGAAGGGGGAAGGTGTGAGAGTCATAAATGCACCACTCTTAGGCTTTGGTTGTGGAAGGAAGTCTTCTTGGTATGAGAAATAATCTTGATATTCCTATGAATATGGTTGTTCTTCATGAAGGGAGGTTGATCATAGAACCCCGTTCCTTGGCTTCCTTCATCTTGATTACTCCATGAAGCTCCGGGGTACCCCCATTCGGGTGTTGGTAGATAATCCCATGTGTTGGAGAAGACATTGGAATCCATGATTCAATATACAAACACACAAACACTAAAAATAAAATCAAATAAACACAAACAACCATCCGAAGCGAAGAGTGGTTCAACAAAAACACATTAAGTACAAAAACAAAAGAAGACAACACAAAAACGGCTAAAGTAACAAACCAAAGTCTTTTACGGTTAACGTAAAATGGTCCCCGGTAACGGAGCTAAAAACGTGAGAATGTGGCGGATCCACAATCATTGGCCTTGTGCTCCAAAGCATGAAGATCCATAATGTCTAGCTAAGGACGCTAAACAAGCACTTGTTGGGAGGAAACTAGGTTTGTATTTCGTTTCCTTATTTTTCTCTTTTTGTGTGTGTGTACTAGAGTAAAGTGTGTGACTTTTGAATGATTAGCGTGCTCATGGTTGAAGTGTTTTTGGTCGATGAATGTGTTTTGTTTGAGTTTGGGGCACGATTGAATCGATCGAGTTTGAAAATTGGTGAAATCCCCTATTTCTGCACATATCATGGCTTTGGTGTAATGTTCACCATCTCAAACCGTAAAGACTATAACCAAAGCGTAATGTAGACATGGATTTTTCCACCGGTGCAGACAACATAGTTTTCATGTAATGTTACTAGGCACAACCCGTGATATTAAATGTATCGTTATGTCAGCACCAAACTCACCATTACGATGAAGTCAACACCAAAACCTTATCTTGGCAAAAAATAAGTGCGACAAAAGTCGACCGGGTTAGCTGAATAGGATGCCATGATCCATCGTGGACCCGGGCGTCAATAAGATGACTCAGACGTTCCATGCACCAAGTGAAGAGATACGGTGAGAGGGTGAAGCGTAAGTTGGCTCGAGCGACAGTGAAGAGGAAGCGCCCGCCTTCTAGAATGACAAGGGTTGTGATGACTCCACCAAAGAGCTTAATAAAGAATATAGAGGCGAGCAACCCTATTATTAAAGTGGCTAAACTAATCTCTGGCAGGTTAGCCCGATACATAATTCCCAGGTTTAAAGAAACTTGCCAAAAGAAGAGATGCAACAAAAGAGAATCCAAACGCACATTGTTCTTGCCTCGGGATAAACTCTTGCTTAAAGCTGCTTTTGGCTGCAATTTATCTAACACATATAAAATGGCACTTCTTACATTTGAAAGCTGGCGAGGGATCAAATCAAAGAAAAGGATCACCATTACATTAATTGCGAGAAGAGATCTTGCAGCAGCGGTTGCATATGTAGGAGGTTTAGAAGAAAGTATTAATGGGGTCGGTTAGGGTAACGAACTTGAAACGCGGAGCCCGAGTGGGGGGGCGTCTAGGAGCAGGTGGTGAAAGATAAATCCGAATTCTTTGACTATAGCTTAACATCGGGAGTAGATTGACCCAACTATTGATGTTGCGCAACCTTGGGCTACATAAAAGGGGCGTGATGTTCACAAACGTGAAAATTTGAATTCAACCAAATCCTTAAAAAAATTGGTCGAAAATTATTTTCCGGTATGGTTCTTCGTCAATTTGATCTACTTCTGAGCGCCCAATCCAAAAACCAAGCACAAATAAAATTCTTCCCTACCCAAGGCTCACATTTGCCAAAGTTTTGGGTAAATTTGGGCTCGATTTTATCGCCGTTGATTTTCTCCAGCGAAACTCTGCCAAGCTTTAGGAGAAGCTCCAACGACCCTCTCTGGTAACGTTTTTGGCCGATTTTCAACACCCTCGCCGCCTCATAACCTTCCTCTTTGATCCTACTTGTCCCTTCAGGTGTGTTTTGAACTTTTACATACTAAGTTTTGGAGAATTGGATCATAGGCCAAGAGCACCCCCTCGAATAATAGCTTCCACGTCCGGTTGGTCAAAATGGGGATCCCAAATTGCATGAGCAATAGCTCTTACATGTGCGGGGTCTTGTACCCATGCTTCAAAATTTCCTTGCCAAGCTACCAAAGATATTTCCACAAGTCCAAAGAATATTATTGCTAATTTGCCAAAGTGAGAAGCAAAAATATTCTTATAAAGACGTTCCTCCGTAATATCATAATGACTCTCGAAGTCATGCGCGGTAGCAATACCAAACCAAATACGGGGAGTAGTGGATTCTTGAGATAAGCCTTTGATAAACCTTGGAAATTTTAATGCCATAATGCCTTTCAAATACTCCTAGCCATTATCCTATTGCAATAATTCTTTCTAAGAAGAATTCCCATGTTGTGCCAATTCCGGCCAAAATAAGGAGATTTCAGAATTTTTGCATGAATGATGAAATTGGGTGAGGGATTAGTTGAACTATGATGGATTTCATGATGCTTAAGTGATTGATGAGATATTTGTGCCCTGGTGGGAATATTTGTTATGTTAGGATGTTGGAATAGAAAAATGCCCACCAAGTGCATACTGAATTGTCTAGCCTTGATACAATTTTGGGCATGTTGAACAATGGTCATTGAGGCATGATATAGGATTGAATTTGCAACCTTTTTTATATATATGAAACTCTTCATGGCTCGATGTGCTTTTGGTTTGATTGAGCTTAATTGTTGGTCATCCAACCTTGTGCAATACCTATGTAGGCACGTTACCTATGTTAGAAATTAAGTGCGGGGGAGTGAATTTTCTCCACAATGTGCTTTTCTAATGAATGTTTCCATGCATTATGCTTGTTGCTTTGTATTTTTGCAGGATGGTTGATCTGATGCATGAGTATATCCATTACTTGGTGGATCACCCGACTATGGGTCACGATTTGAGTTATGAAGGAATGTGGACATTGGACCCCACTAGCGCCTTGAACTCGGCATTTTTTTTACATCTTTTTCATTGTCAGGCTGCAATCTCAACAACCATTTCTCATCCACGGTGGCTCCAATTGCTCAGCCTTGACGAGTCGATCTACTGGGAGTTGTGCTTGGAGTTCTACTCCACATTTGTTCACGTGCAGCCTAGAGGACGACGCAATCAACCATATGTGGAGTTCAGACTAGGTGGAGTCCATCATATGATAGTGTATGACACCTAGCTCACGATTTGGGGCTCCATAGCGAAATCATGATGATGGAGCTTACACCAGGGGTGCGAACCCCTAGTCGGTGTATGATTCGATTATCCTCCTAGAGTATAGAGAGAACTCTTTCTAAGTGGGTCACACCAGGGTGACTCAGTTCAGGCCCCAATGGAAGATCCTTCACATGCTGCCGACCCACTCTGTGGTCCAAATTCTGCTAGCTCAGGGACTGAATGCGCTCTGAGGGATCGTGGCACTTTACACGATGGGTTGAACGCGAGAGCCTCTCCATCTGGGAGCAGTTGTGGCAACAACACATCGCGAGAGGTTTCGAGTACATCGATGGTGTTCGACCCTATGCCATGTCCAACCCAGTGTTGGAGGAGGGTCCAAAGCCATGCCATCGAGCTCAACCACCATGCCAACGTGGCCATGCCAGTGCTTCATCATCATGAGGAGCTGGTCCTTCATCCATGGGAAACTTTGTGGCTCGAATCTCTACCCTTGAGGACTAGTTTGGCGGCATCTCATTCAAGATAGAAAGAGAGCGTGTCACGCCCGACGACATTCACATCACTTGGCGGATGAGCTAGTCCGTGCTCAGGGCATCGTCTTCCAGGACATTGAGTGGCATCCTTCATTTCCTCGCTAGGAGCAGTCACCACTTCAGTGCCATGTTGGCACCATCTCTTTGTGTGTTTAACTAGTCCTATTTTGTTGTTTTTCTTTTCTTGTGATGTTTAGATATTGTGATTGTGTAACAAACTCGCCTTAAGCAAGCATGTGTTTATATTTGTGTGTTTATTCCTTGTGAAGCTAGTCCATCTCTAGTCCGACATTCACTCACCAATGATTTGGTAACTTCCTTCCACCCTTATTCTTGCTCCATTAGGTACTAGGTCGTTCTGAAGTGTGGAGGTGTATACATATATTTGTGTTTGCCGTGTGAATAATGAGTGGAATGGCTTATTTGAATGTTGTGGAGCCTTGTGATTGCCAAATCTCTACAAGTTGAGGGTTCCAAGCACGTGTGCATGAATGATTGATTGAGGGTTGAAATTGAGATGTGTTTTGGAATTTAGGGGTTCTGAACAAAGTTATCCCAATCATGATCTTACTTAATGTATTCTGTATCGTTTGATGATTGCGATAGTGTGCATTATGGGGAGTAGTGTGGTGCTTTGGAAATTCTTGATATAGGTGGCTTTAGTTCTATTTCCTCTCGGATTGTGAACGTGTTTGTTATGGAGGTTAGGACATGTGTGTGAGACTCCCCAATTTTGGACTACAATTTTTTTTGCACATTTTGAAAATTAGGAGCTCACCATGGAGTCCTTTAATTTTCACGCATTTTTTATGAGTACCCCAGTGCACGCGTGAAGATATGGAAGTTAATTTTACGTAAGTGTGATTAATTTTTGGGCATCACCGATGATTGATAGTGCATACCATTGCTATTTTCCTACAAGTTGTACCAGTTTGAGAAGGTTTGCTTAGGGACAAGTGAACATTCAAGTGCGGGGTAGTTTGGTTTGGGATAGATTGTACACTTTATACCTCTTGAATTGTGACATTTGTGGTTGAACAGTCTTTGGAGATATTTTACTCTAGGTTTGGTCTTGTGTTCAATTGTCATAAATGAATTTCTAGATCTGAAGATTTATCAATATTCAGTTTTGAAAAAGAATTTTTTTTGTTGGAAATTCTGTATGATAAAAAAATTGTAAAGTTAATAAGGCTTTTGATTTTCTTTCTATTCTTTTTCTATCTATATAAGATTTTTTGAATTACTTGTACCATAATTTTTCGTCATAGTATATATATTGGTAAGAAAAGTATTTGCCTTTACCCAAAAAAATTTTGGAGACCTTAGCAGGTCGAATGGGCGATAGGATAGTAAGTCAGACAAAAAAGGTAGCAAAATGGAAAAAAAGCGAAAGGGTCATGACCAGGCAGAGATTGTTACAAGCTGCAACTGTGAAGTTGATGCGGAAACCGTGAAGATTGCAAACTACTAGGAGCCTTTGTGTAATTTGATGGATTGTAAGGATCACAGTCATAGACCATGAAGTCAGCAGTCAACCCGTGAAATATGTAAATGAAATGGCACATTTTGTGTTGAGATCGCGGTTTCATTGCATACTTCACGAGAGTGAAGAGAAGCCGTGAAGTATGCACTGACACACTATATAGAGGAGAGTGGGTTGAATTTGAAAAGGAGAGTTCTAGAGAGGGAATTGAGAATAGTTCTTCTAATCTATAGAGAGCTACAAGCAAAAAAGAGTTGAAGGTGAATTTAACTTACCCAAGGAAATTTGAGGGAAGATTCCATCACCAATCAACTACAAAGAGGACGAATCACTTTCTCATGTGTTTTTCTTCTATTCTAGTTGGTGTTTCTCTCCTAGCTATGGAGTAGTTCTCCTATTCACTTGGATGTTATGAACCCTAGTCTAGGGTCTTGTAGATTGTAGTTTGTGAACTCTTTGTGTTGATGGGTATTATGATTTATATATTGATCGAGGGATTTTCATGCAAATTGAGTGTTCTTGAGCAAATCCCTCCCTTTGGGGGCCAATTGACCTAGGAGGGAGAAAATCCCCTAAGAGAAATTCGGGTTACTCCTCAATCATCATAGAGTGTCGTGAATGGTTTTGATTGGTGACTCGATGCTGGCGTGGAACAGTCGGGAGGAGATTTATCAGGCGGCTCTTCGGATAGAGAAGGCTGACACAACTGTGCATCAAGAAGGGATACAACAAGAGGGAAACAAGAGAAACGCAAGTAACATGACAGAGTGGTCCGGCCAGCCCAGTCAGTACAGGAGGAGGCAGAGCAGTACCATTAGCTTTGGTGATACTCAGAGTCAGACCGGCTCGTCAGGCCTGGTCAAACTTTCAGCAACAGAGGTATCTATAACCAGTGTGGGTGGGATCACTCAGGGGAGTGTAGCCAGACCCCCAGGGTCTGCTATAACTGTAACGAGCCTGGGCATTTCGCCAGAGAATTCCCCTAGAGAGACGGACAAGGGATGGCTCGGTCCGAGCAGTCTATCCGGGGTGGTGGAGCGAGGACTCACGCAAGACCACGGTTTGGCGGCAAGCCAAACCGCTCCTTCCAGATCCAGGGAGGACGCACTGGGAAGTTCGACCATACTGATCGGGGCAGAGACCAGGGGCCTCTAGCAGGGGGACATACGAGGGTATTTTCCATGTGAGGGGTAGAGGGCGACCGTGGTGACGATGGAGGGGACGAGCAAACACATTGATGTAATCATGTGGAGCAAATAGGGAGACCGGGGAGAGGAATTATTTGTTTTATGCATAGACCGCTAGTTGGTTGTTTTCTCCGAAAGATGCTCTTTCAGTTTTAGTACTCGGTACAAAACCAATTAAATTAGTTTGGACCAAAATTTCGAGGTCTAAATTTTATTAAGAGGGAGGGAAATGTTATATCCTAACTTGAGAAGTTTTAGTCAAACACCAAAAGTTTATCTTTTCGGTTCCAAATTTCGGGGACGAAATTTTTATAAGGGTGGAGGAATGTAACACTCCGACCTTTGGATTTAGGTTTGACCTTAATACGTGAATGATTGGATTAACGGTTACTTACGAGGGGTTGCATTTGTGGTTTATAAATAATAATAACTGCTATATTATTATTATATTAAAGGAAAGCAGTTTAATCATTAGTAAATCAACCAAAGGTAATTACAACATTGACCTAACTAAGGAGCTAGGGGACTCATCCCCAAGTGACTCTTCCCTGCTTAAGAACTTCGAACCATTTCCTGCTTTCTTACTACTTTAGCTTAAAATCACATTCACTCAACTTAGTCTTGCTATATAATAAATAATCATGGAGTAGGTAGTAGATCTAGACTAAGGAGCTAGGGGACTCATCCCCAAGTGACTCTTCCCTGCTTAAGAACTTCGAACCATTTCCTGCTTTCTTACTACTTTAGCTTAAAATCACATTCACTCAACTTAGTCTTGCTATATAATAAATAATCATGGAGTAGGTAGTAGATCTAGACCCCGGATTGATAAATAGAACTTGCCACTATTCTGCATTTCCGGACTGCGATTACACTTGGTCGCAGTTTGGTGTTGTGTTTTAGCGTGTCATGTTTTTGGCGCCATTGCTGGGGACTTCTAGGTTATTGTGGAAATGTGAAAGTTTGTTACTCTAGCTTTTTATTTACTCCATTCTCTCTCTTCCACCTTTGTGCCTTCACGGTTTGTGTTTGCATTATGTGTACAGGTAGTGCATGACCCGTAACCAGTCAGGAGACTTACTGGCGTTAGACCAAGAGCTTGACCGAACTTGTAGGAACTTCAAGAGAACTTTAAAGGCACGACTAGCTGCGGAGGAGGCTCTAGCACAACTGCAGATCAACCAGGAGGAAGACTTGGGTAAGCCTCAAAACAACGATGTGGTTTTCCCCAATGAGCACAACATGGGATATTACTGGACCACTAGAGCCACGAACATGAGGTCGCCCATCCAGCACCCTCAAGTTCCAGCCAATAACTTCGATTCCATGAGTTCATCGATGGGATCAAGATAAATGGGATCCCAGCCGATGCCATCCAGCTGAGGTACTTCCCATTCACTGTGGAGGGGCAAGCCAAGGAGTGGTTGGACATTAGGCCTCCAGGATCGATCACCATGTTCGCCAACTTGGCGGACAAGTTCCTCACCTGCTATCATCCTCCGTCGAAGACGGCGGACCTGCAAAAGCAGATCACCCACTTTTCCCGGAGGAAGATGAAACCATTCTTGAAGTGTCGCAATCATGTGTTCAATGACGCCTTCAAGGTGGGCACCTTCTACCACACCCTCTTCCTAGAAGACAATCAGCTGATTGACTCGGTCTGCGGCGGGAACATGCTAACCAAGACCCCGCCGCAGCTTAATTGACCCTTTGAAAAGATGACAGAGCAGGGATATGATTGGGGAACTGCAAGGAAATCGAGACGAGCACCAGGTCGGGTTGTGCATGCTGCAGCCACCTAGTCGTCTGAGTTGGTGCAGGTTGTATCTAAGTTAGTCTAAGCCATTGATCATTCTGGAATGGTTTCAGGGATAGGATAGCAGCAGGCAATGCATTGCTAGTGGAGAGAAATCTCCCATCACATTGTGGAAGATTATCAGGCGATGAGGAAGTCAACTACTCCCTAGGAGCAGTTGGACTTTATTGGCAATGCTAGGCGCTTCGACCCCTATAACAACACTTATAACGAGGGGTGGCGCCATCATCCTAACTTTTCCTGGAATGTACCTAATCCTCGGCAACCAGTCTCCCAGGGACCGCCGGGCTTTCAGAGGCCTCCTTACCAGCCAAGACAAGGGCAATTCCAGTAATAGCGGAATCCTCTTTATCTGGACAGACAAGGGCCAGCCACTCCTCAGTCACAGATGAGGCAATTTCAGCAGCTAGGTGCAGCCCTCACAACCTCAGTACAGCGATCCTATGGTCGATTTGCGAGATTTGGTGGGTTCTCTGGCCACCTCCATTGCGAATAAGTTCAGCAACATCAAGCAGTTCATGGAGAAAGCCTTAGGTAAATTCTTAGAGCATTCAACTTGTTGATAGATCCATTGTGCATCCTAGGGGCATTGCAGAGGACTTGATAGTCACAGTGGGGCCATTCTCATATCTTGTTGATTTTGTTATTCTTGATATAAATGAGGATGTGGATGTGCCTTTAATACTGGGTAGACCTTTTCTCGCCACTGCCAAGGCACTTATTGATGTGAATGATGGGAAGTTAATTTTGAGGTATGGGGGTGAACAAATCACCTTCTCTGTTTCTGATAATATGAAACACGAGTGCGGATACTGATGATTTCCTTGAGTGTTGTCTTTTTCTAGGTGAACAGGCATCGCAGGAGTTGTAGCTGGAGGAGCAGCTCGTGGAGCTAGACAAAGCCGCGATCAATGGGCGAGAGAAACCATTCATGTTGATCCCTATCTCACCCCGGATCGCCACATCATTGGAGGAGCCACTAGAGCTGGAGCTTAAAACCCTCCCCGCTCACCTGAAGTATGCATTTCTCCGGGAGGGGAATAAGCTCCTGGTCATTATTAGCTCGGATCTGACACCCGGGCAGAAGAGCAGACTGGTGTCTCTGCTGTAGAAGTATGCCCAGGCCATGGCGTGGAAGATAACTGACATCAGAGGCATTAGCCCATCCTTTTGCCCCCACAGAATTCTGATGGAGGATGAGGTTAAACCAGTCGTCAGCCGTAGCGGATATTGACTCCCAAATTGGAGGTAGTGGTCCAGACAGAGATCATGAAGCTGATGGATGTCGGGATCATCTTTTCTATATCTGATAGCAAGTGGGTAGTCCCACTCAGGTGTACCCGAAGAAAGGCGAGATGACAGTGGTCCCGAATGAGAAGAACGAGCTGATCCCGATGCAGATTGAGACCGGCTTGAGAGTCTGCATCAATTATAGGCACCTGAATGACGCGACCAGGAAGGACCATTTTCCCCTACCTTTCATTGATTAGATGCTGGAGAGGTTGGCTGGCCATGAGTTCTACTACTTCCTGGATGGTATGTCTGGTTATTTCCAGGTTCCCATCGCGCCAGAGGAGCAGGTGAAGACCACATTCACTTGCCCCTTCAGTACTTTTGCTTACCGGAGGATTCCATTCGGGCTATGTAATGCACCGGCGACCTTTCAGAGATGTATGCTGGCAATCTTCAACCAACTGGTTGGAGAGATCATAGAAGTCTTCATGGACGATTTCTCAATTTACAGAGACTCCTTCACTCACTGTCTCCATAACCTGGAACTGTTCCTGAAGAGGTGCGAGGAGACTAATCTTGCACTCTGCTGGGAGAAGTGCCATTTTATGGTTCGTGAGGGGATTGTGTTCGGGCACAAGATCTCCAAGCAGAGGATTGAGGTAGATCGCGCAAAGATAGAGACGATCAGTAAGCTGCCTCTTCTCATTTATGTGAGGGGGATTCGCAGCTTTCTGGATCATGCAGGGTTCTACAGGGGCTTCATCAAGGATTTCTCAAAGATTGCCTTGCCTCTGACCAAGCTGATGGAGAAGGATTTACCATTCCATTTCACTCATGAGTGCACAACTGCATTCGAGACATTGAAGGAGAAGCTTACCCATGCACCCATCAAGGTGACTCTTGACGGGTCTCTACCTTTTGAGCTGATGTGCGATGCGAGTGACTATGCAGTTGGAGCTGTTCTGGGTCAGAGACATGAGAAGCAATTCCAACCCATCTACTACGCGTCGAAGACCTTGAACGATGCACATGAGAACTACACTACCACTGAAAAAAAGATGCTCGCGATGGTCTACATAGACCACTCTGCGATTTGCTATCTGATGAGAAAGGCCGATGCAAAGCCTAGGTTCATCCATTGGATCCTGCTTTTGCAGGAATTTGATATCGAGATTTGGGATAAGAAGGGAGCCGAAAATTTTGCTGCAGATAATCTTTCACCATTGGAAGCCCCTCCGGTGGACAACTTTGTGTAAGAGATCAACGACTCCTTCCCGGGTGAGCGATTGCTGGATGACCTTGGTGGAGAGCGTGGCCCCTTGGTATTCTGACTTTGCCAATTATATGGTGGTCAAGCCGCTATCGAAGGGGATGGCCACTCATGCAAAGCGCAAGTTCTTCTCCGACCTGAACCATTATTTCTAGGAGGATCCTTACCTCTTTAGGATCGGAGCAGATGGCGTGATCCGGCGCTACGTCATGGAGCACGAGATGGGAGACATCCTGTCTCAATGCCACGAGGGACCAACTGGCGGTTACCATGGGGGGAACCGCATGGCATGGAAGGTGCTACAGTCGGGCTTCTACTGGCCCTCACTCGTCAAGGATGCAGACACCTTCGCACGATAGTGCGACCGCTGCCAGAGGTCAGGGAACATCTCCTCCTGGGATGAGATGCCCCAACATATATCTATTGTTTGTGAAATTTTTGATGTTTGGGGCATCAATTTCATGGGCTCATTCCCTCCATCTTTTGGCAATCTGTACATATTGGTTGCAGTATACTATGTTTCGAGGTGGGCGGAAGCTCAAGCCACGCCCACCAATACCGCGAGACGGGTCTTCTCATTTAAGAAGCAGCTGTTCTCACGGTTCGGGACACCTCGCTCCATCATAAGTGATAGAGAAACCCATTTTCAAGGGCAATTCACTAAGCTCCTCTCTCGCTATGGTGTTAAGCATCATGTGTCGGTGGCTTGCCATCCCCAGACCAATGGTCAAGCCGAGCTGACAAACTGGAGCTTAAACGAATAATTGAAAAGACTGTGGATCAGTACCGCAATGATTGGTCCACAAAGCTCGATGATGCTCTCTGGGCATATAGGAAAGCCTACAAAAACCCAATTGGTACTTCACCATATAGGCTTGTCTATGGGAAGGCGTGTCATTTGCCCATCGAGCTAGAGCACAAGGCCTTCTGAGCACTTAAACTGCTAAATCTGGATTTAAGTGTTGTAGGTACTGAAAGGAAGCTGCAACTGCTGGTGTTGGAGGAATGGCGTTACCACGCCTACGAGAACACCCTGCTCTACAAGGATTCTGCGACACTCGGTTGAAAGGCCCAATGGAGTTTAAGGTAGGTGAACATGTTTTGCTCTTTAATGCATGCCTAAAACTGTTTCCGTGCAAGCTGCGTTCGAGGTGGTCAGGACCCTTCATGATCACCCAAGTATTCCCGCACGGTGCGGTAGAGATTAGCATTGCTCAAACTGAGCCATTCAAAGTGAATGACCACCTCTTAAAGTTGTATTTGGGGGGTGAGGTCGAGCGCGCAGAGCTGCTAATCAAGTTCGAGGACCCTTAGTTCCTCTAGTGGCGTCCAGCTAAAAGATGGTAAAGAAACACTTGTGAGAAGGCAACCCCACCTAGGTTTGCATTTCCTTTCCTTTTTCTTTTTAATGTTGTGTTTTTTAGTCTTGAAGTGCTTTCAAAGGTTCGGATATCGCATTTGCGCGAAAACTGGTCGAATCCCGGGCTCTGGAATTTCACACTGCCATGCCTAAATTATGCACGGCCGCGTGGAAATCACCTTTGGCCGTGTGAAGCTCATAGGATTTCCAAACGGGCAGAAAGGGCCCCCCCACACGGCCGTGTGGAATTCTCGGCCTCACACGGGCAAACACCGCACCCACACGGTCGTGTGGGTCTGCCCGTATGGCGACCCGCGCGCATTGGAAAACTCGCCGGAAAACTCGCGGCTGTGTGAGGCTAGAAAATCACATTCACTTGCCGAAAAACTCTCCCCCTCGCCGGAACCACGACTTTTTGCGCTCTTGGCAATTTTCCGGCCATTTTTGGTCGGTTTTTCACCAAACCAGCACCATACCCCATCTTCCATCCTCCTTTTTGGCGTATCCCTTCGTTTTGGGGCGATTTGAGCCGGATTTGGTTCACCAAGGTCACTAACCCAGCCGGTGTGTCCTTCAAGGCTTTGTACACCCGGCTAGCTCAGCCCGCTCAGGACCCCTTCACTGCGGGGCGGACGAAGGCTAGCACTATGCAGCTCGAGAATTGCCTACTCCACCACTTGCTCGCGAAGTCCTTCACTCTAGCTGGCAAAAGTGCCAACACACTGACCAGGCGGTCCCTCTACTTCATCCACTCGATACGCACTGAGAACCATGCTCTCCACCTGGGATCTGTGGTGGCGAGGACTATGGACAAGAGTGCTTAGACTCTGGCGACCCTCCACTGCACCCCACTCATCACCCGTCTGGCCGACTATTTCCAAATCCTCTATTAGTATTGCACAAAGCAGGGTGGCACTTGGTGTTTCGGAGAAGAGACGTTCTCGAAGATGCACCTGTTGAGGGTCTCCCGCAGTGTCAAGTGGATTGAGGGCTTTCCTGTTTCCCCCATTCCCGACCACCCTGCGGAGGATCAGACCGCGGTCCCTGAGGATGCTACCTCCGAGGATGTGGACGTTGCTGCCGACCACCCCGCCCCCTACCAGAGCACCTATGAGCATGGGGGTGGTAGCTCTACGTTTCCATTCCAGGACTACTTCTCTCACCAGTTCCAGCAGTTGAATCTTCAGAATCAGCAACTCCTCGAGCATCATCTTCTATTCCAGCAACAGTACTTGGCCCACCATGCCGCGTATAACACCTGGATGGCTGCATATGATGAGCACATTGACCGCATGGAGGCCCAGTAGAGGGTCACCCTTGCTCACATTGAGAGGTAAAATAGTTGGGATCGTCGTATGCAGGAGGTCCAGCAGTACCTGCTCCAACTGATACCGGGCGAGCCGCCAGTCTGGAGGACTCCTTGGGAGTATTCCCCACTACCACCCCCGCCAGCCAGTGACGATGCTTTCATGGATGACATCGACTTCAACAACCTCGGCGACGAGTAGTCTGTACTCGTCGTCCATTCGAGTGTGTTTGTGTGCTTTCGATTTTTCTTGTTTGCTCCATGTGTGTGAGGAGCTTGAACTGAGTCTTTTGTGTGTTTTTCTTTTGTGGATTTTTCGTTACGTGCCCATCTGGGCTGACTCCGATCCCTAATGCACAGTGTGCTAGTGTGTTATTCATGTTCCCCTCATGCAGAACTGTTCCATCGTTTTGTCTGTCCCCGATGACTGGTCCATTTCCAGTCCCTCGGCAGTCTTTCATCTCGGTAACATCGTTCCCTCAAAGCCATTGAAGTATAAGATTTTTCCTATTTGTCTCTCTGTTGTGCCGGTTGATTTTGTGAATTAGTGGATTTAGGACCGTTGATTCATGTTGTATTGATGAATCCTCTTATGTTGAGTTGTGTACTCGTGTATTGAAAAAGGGTGCTCATATGTTAAATGAAAAGGTAGTTGGTCCTCCATGTCAAAAACTTTGAAATCTTGAGAAATGGGGTAAGCCCAACGTGTATGGCACCGTTCATTGCACAAAATCGGGTTTTGGAAGAGATTTTAGTGATCCTTGGTGGGGTAGGCTTACAAGGTGAAGCTAAGTTGTCTCTAGTACAAGTAAAATTTCCACCCGTTGAACGGTTTGCCTACTTGAGGATGTGTTTTTAAGGGCACGGATAGAGCTTCCGACCCCCCTTAATTTCATTGACCCTCCACACGAAGTGAGGAATAGGAGTTAAAAGAAGTACTCTGGCAAGCGGCAGATGTACAGAAATTGCTCTTGCTCACCCAATAATGGCAAACTACGCATACAAACTGCAGTTGGAACACAGCAAAGTAAAAAAAAAAGAAAAAAAAAAGAGAAACAAATAGTAAGAAGAAGGGGTTCCAACAAGTGAAATGAAATGAAAGAGCACCCGATAGAATGAGTCATTGGTTGTTGAATGGTGTGAGTCTCCTTATCCATGAATTGGTTTTCTTAGTTCCACTGATTGTCATGATCCTGGCTTGAGTCTAGTACTCGCATTGAGAGAGATATAAGCGTCTTAGAAGACCAGTTGAACTCGTAAGTTGCTAAATGATCTAAAAATCCTTTGCTGATTATCGGGGTTGCATGTTGCTATAGAGGTCTAAAGAGCTGCATTGGTTTGAGTCAGGTTTGCTTCGGGACAAGCAAACAGTTAAGTATGGCGGAATTTGATGACTTGATATATACACATGTTTTTGTCCACTATTCCTCTACCGTTAGAGTCTCATATCTCGTGTTTTAGGTCGATTGCATGCTAGGTTGTTCTTGTTTGTGATATTTTAGGTCCTAGTATGTGAAGGAAGCATTGGACACGAGTTCGAGGTCGATTGGACGAAGTTGGAACGATTGACAAAAAGCTGGGGAAACCACACGACCAGATCTAAATACCACACGGTCGTGTGACGTGGACGTGTGGAACCCCTTTGCGCGGGCAACCCACATTGGCCGTGTAAACGGTCCTTTGTGGCCGTGTGGAATTCCCAGGGAGCTCACACGGGCAGACCATGATTTCACACAGTCATGCAGCATGCATGAAGCCACTTAAGTGAAACGCTACGTTTTACAAGTCCAGACGAGGAGCTGGGTAATTCTACACGGCCGTGTGGCATGCCGTATAGTCGGGGAATTCTGGGTTTTAACCCAATTTCGGGTCTTTTGAATGGGAAATCAATTTTCATAGCTAGAAACAGAGTCCTAGAGAGAGAAAGTGCGAAGAACACACTCTAGAGGTGATTTTGGAGCTCGGTTTCATCAATCAAGCTTGGATTTCATCCTTGGAGTTAAGATTATCATCCTAGAGCGGATTCTTCCCATCTTGATGAGTATGATTACTTTGTATTCTGTTTTCTTCTCTCTGTCTCTCTATGGAGTAGAACCCTCTGTCACTTGGGTATGAAGAACCCTAGTTCCATGTGTTAGGGATATCGATTGTAATAACGTTTGGATTGTGATACTACTTGATTATAATCGATTGAAGTGTCTTGATTGAGTCAATTGAAGTATGATAATCTTTTATTGATTTCTGCTACAACCTCAGATAGATAGAATCTGATTAGGTTGTTAGTGCTTCTTCAATCGGTAGTAGTGAATCGATTATACGAGAGTTAGTCGATTCACTGCTTTGTACTAGAATCCAATTCCAGTAGTGGAGTTCTATGTTAATTGCCTCAACGTTGTATCCCGGTGAGGACTAGTCGTCTACCACATAGTCTTTCTAAGAGGGCTTGGTCAGCTTAAGAGATTTCAAGCTACTGTCGGATCTTCCACGGTTTAATCAATAGTAAATCAACCAAAGGTAATTACAACTTTGACCTATCTAAGGAGCTAGGGGAACTCGTCCCCGAGTGACTCTTCCCCTGCTTAAGAACTTCAAACCATTTCCTGCTTTCTTACTGCTTTAGCTTAAAATCACATTTACTCAAATTAGTCTTGCTAGATAATAGATAATCACGGAGTAGGAAGTAGATCTAGACCCCGGGTTGATAAATTGAACTTGCCACTATTCTACATTTCCGGACTGCGATTACACTTGGTCGTAGTTTGGTGTTATGTTTTAGCGTGTCATGTACCTTCACCAACTCACAACCCAACCTATGGTAACCTTCATAATCTTATCTTTTGAACTCCCACATTTAGGACAATGTGTTGCTCAAGTGTGTGGGGTGTGTGTGTGTGTGTGAATGCTTGAATGATTTTCATGATTGATTGAGCCATGGATTGCTAGTATCCTCCCTTGTTTATGAATGTAAGACGTTTATGAATACTTATGAGAGTGTATGCAGCGATTTTGTTTGATTTTTGGTGTTGGGTGGCCAAATGATAGTGTTTTGGAACCTTGAATGCATTACCCAAAAAATTTCAAATTTGAGGGTTCCAAAATACCTTGTTCCGTGCAATTTCCTGCTCAATATGCTTTGAATTGATAGATGATTGATGTGTTTTGCTCGCTAGGGAGTAGTTGCATGATTAGAGTAGCGGTGTATTGAGGATTTTACTCTCTTCTTCCTCTTTGGTGAGTTGATAAGTCTGCTATTTTACGAAGAACATGTGTGCGGGATTCTCTGTCATTTGTTAACTCAAAATCTTCTAAAAAGAGGTTCTCACGTGAGAGGAAACCGACCCTCAAGGTTTAGAGTGCCCTTTGAGGATATGTTTGGGGATTGGATAGCTTTACCACGCGATAACCATCTCTCACTACTTACCATCCGCCAAACATCTTTCATCCTCACGGAATCGTATGCCAAGGTACAACCTTTTAACAATTCAAGAGACTTTAAAAATCTCGTTTGTACCCAACAACTGTGGCAACTCAATGTGGAGTACAGGCTGGGAGTGGTCCTCAGGCTAAGACGAATCCTCCCATAAACTTTCCCACATATGACCTTAAAAGGAAAGGCAATGATGCATCCGCTCGTGGTCGTGAGAGAGAGATGCTTGCTTGCGAGAAATCTTGCAAAAGATTGGTGCAATGCACGTCAATGTAGAAAAAGGAGACCAATAAACAGCAACTTCTAAATCAAAAGAAAGAATAAAGAGCACCCTGAAGAGTTCTTGTGCTTAGTTGATGATTGAGAAATCCCCTGGTGCACAACTTGAATGTTTGGCCTAAGGTAGTAAGTATTGCCCTCTCCCAAGAGTTTGTGCGTGCACAGTAATATGATAGTAACATTTTCTCATCTTCATCTACTCTTCCTTATGCAATGAAGAACTAGAGTGCATTCCACCTTGATTGGGGAAACCAAATGTCTAAGTGTGGGGGAGTTTGATAACACCTAAATTGGTGTTATTTACTCTTCATGTCTAGTTTGTTTCGTGCTAATTCATGTGCTTCATCGTTAGAATATAGTCAATTTCATCCCTTTTCCGTTCCTATTTGATTATGATGTGATTTAGATACAAAAAGGGACACAAGTGTAGCTAAATGGGCAGAAGGCTGATGATCATGGCCTGTAGATGGAGATCACGGCCGAGAACATATACTGCAAATTAAAGGTGAAGATCACGACCTCAAAGCCAATGATCAATACCGCGAATCTGGAGGCTTCGAGCACGAACTTCGTGAAGAAGCAAGTCGAGGAGAAACAATGAGTTCCCCAGTCTGATCACGGCCACAGTTCACATTGACTGCGAGGAAGTTCGTGGACGCACTTCACGGATCGTGAGCGTGAAGTCAGCCCACGAAGACCTCGTGCCTAAAGGCCTAAATGGTGGCATCGGCAGATTGTGACCTCAAGGAAGCAGATCGTGACTGTGATCTCCACACTGCCTAGCCGTCAACCTCTCCGTCCTTTGAAGGCTATAAATAGAAGACCCCCTTCCCCCATTCAAGATAGCTGATTTTGAGAGAGAATTTCTAGTTAGAGAGATAAAGAAGAGAGAGAAGCTGAAGGAAAGATAAGAGGAGGAGATAGAAGAGATGAGTCATCTTCCTCAACATCTAGTCTTCCCCAATTTCTTCTATGTATCTTCTTCCCTCATATATGGAGTAATCCTCTAAGGTACATGGTGTTCTAAACCCCAAACCCTAGTTTTCGGGCTATTATGTAATTAATGGATATTTTAGGGTTTTTAAGAATGAATGTGTTTATCTAGTTGATTTCATTGTTTCTGTAGCTTTGATTGTGTTTGGGTTAGTCGCCCTAATCTTCTTGACGAGCCTACTTGAGCTTCTACCCTGGGTATGGAGTTCCAGGGTTAGATGAGTAAGCGCCATCAAGCAAATTAAGGTTAGATGTATGAATGATATCTTATGGTGTACTAGGCAACCGTACCCTGCCATATGAATGCATTCCTAGATAGAACATGGGATATGTAGCACCCCAACTTTTTGGGTTAGGTTCGACCAGTAATCGATTCGGTTCAGTTGGAAATTTTGTTTTAATTAGTTTCTATGAATGGATCAATCCTAATTAAGGATTAATAGATTTTAATTATAATTAGAAAAAAAGAGAGGAAAAGGAACCCATTACCTTCCATCTCCCTCGGTTACAACTAGGCCATCTAATGGTAATTAAAAACCAAAGAAAACCCATTACCCTTCTTCTCTAGACCCAAGCGCTCTCTCTCTCTCCCTACACACAAAACCCCTCAGCCGCAGTCCCTTTCCTTCTAAAGACCCGGGTACCCCAACGTTCTCCGTTACGGACTTTGAAGATGAAGGGGATGAAACCATTGCCAACGATGGCAGCAATCCAGAGAGAGTCAGGAAGGCGAACAACGAAGAATTGATGATGACGAGGGCAACAAAGAGATAGATTAGTTGTGACCTGTCTTGTTGATTGGTAAGAAGTCCCTCCGATCCACGTATTCTGAATGATGGAAAATATTCGTATGCGTAGATACTAACCATCGACGAGATTTAGCTTTCTTTCCCATATGTAAGCGGATCAATTATTATGGTGTTACAGCCATAGGAGGTGACTCGGAATGGAATGTGAAGTGTGGTCATTCTAGAGGATATAGTTTGGCTTGGATACGGTGCCGATGACCAACCAAACACCATGATTATTCAACACGGAGGTAAGGCTTTCGTTGGTGATGAATTGGGCGGTTGAGGCTATACTGCGCACGGTGGGAATAATTTGATTTTCATTATGTAATTGGTATGGTTGGCAGTATTAATTACCTCATGGTGGAGCAGCAATACGTTTCTCATTGCTGGAGGAAGGGACTTGGTTAAGCATGGTGGCATCATGGTGTGTACATGGGGTAATAGCTTTGTACGAGGAGGTGGGGAGCGGATCAGGTCAGTAACCCTTATGGTGAGTAACCATCAGTAACCTGTCCACATCTGTATGACATCAGCATCCCCTCTCTCCCGGAAAGTCTTTTATCTTTTCCCCTTTAATCTTTAACGAACGATTTCTCTTTCGTTTAAAGTCAAAATTTAATTTTTTTTTTGCATAGATAAGTCAGATTAAATGTGCTCTTTAAAATGATATCCACTTTGATATATTTTTAGTACAAAAAAATTGAATAATTTTTTACCAGTCATTACCATATGGTATGCGCATATTTAATACCATATGGTAAGAAAGCGTACCATGATAGTATGAACATACCAATATGGTAAGAAGATTGAATACATGATAGTAGGTGTATACTAATGGTCATTTACGACGTTCATCATTGTTTACCACAAGTTACCACCCACATACCATAGTGGTAAAGTATGGTAATTTTTGGTCCAGTATTTTTTTCACCGAGAAATTTGTAGATCCAATAGATCATGATGAACTCGTTCCTTCTGAGCAAACGTTTTCAGAAACGACTTAAAAACGAAGAAGTTACCATATGATATGTAGTTGGTAAAAAAAGTTTCTCGAAATATATTGAAAATTGATCTCATTTTTTAGAGCACAACGAACTCGTTCCATGTGTGCAAAAAAAATTTGAAATCCGAGTTAAAAGGAAGAAGATAAGAGCCGATTATGAAAACTAGGGAAAATAAAATGTCTATAATTGACAACCTTTAGATCTGGATTTTCTGGGCCCACTTAGATCTAAGGGTCAAGATTTAGTTACTTATAGGTCAGTAACCATTGGTTACTGACCCTATCCTAAGCCGAGGATGTGGTATTGCTTATGGACACAGCGAGGTCAGCTGTTAGTGTACTGTAGTTCGAATCTGTGGGGGTACAACGATCAAGTAGGCAGAGCATCAACTAATTAACGAGGTGAGTGTAAAGGGGGTACAATCTTTGTCGTGGTCTTTTAGTTTATGTTGTTTTCATTTCAAGTTATGTTTGTTAATTTTCAAGTAAGTGTGATTATGTGTGAGGCATCCCACTGCCTACTTAAGGTGGAGGCACGCGTTGGCTATGTATGTGAATGCGTGTGGTTGTTACTAAGATGAACCCCCGTGCGGTTGGGCCACTACTGGACGCAGTAGATGGTCGGATCACTGTTGGACGGCGAGACGTAACGCAACAGTTGATCGTGTATGTTGGGGTCACTATTGGACGACAAGACGTAACGAAGTAGTTAAATGGGCAATTGGCCATGGACTGAACGGCGAGACGTAACACAGTGCCATTGCGGAGTTTGGGTATGCAACCAGAAGGCGAGATGTAACGCGGTTGGCATACTAGGGTAGGACACCAGACGGCGAGACGGGACGCGGTGGTCCTAGTGTTTTGTTTTTTTAGTTAATGATAGAATTTGAGAGCTTATATGAGTTAATGTTCAAATGAGTTTTTAAGAATGAAAGCGAGAACGAATTTCATCTAAGGAAACCTGCTAATAATGTGTTAGTAAGGGTTTTCTTAGGGCAAGATCTTAGGAAGTAACGACGAGACTGACCCCTTCTCACTCACCAGGTTGAGGAAGGGTTAACGGATGAGGATTTCGAGAAAAGGCAAGGCGAGGCGAGAAGCTGCACCAAAGTGGACGAGATCGAGGGAAGCTCAGTGAGGAGCTAGTGTTAGAGTTAGTTAGGTATATTTTTGTTCATGATTATGAGTGTACACTGGAGGTTCAAGGTTCAAGATGTGTTGTTTTAATGGCTAAGGATTGAGTTTGCCCACGTGTTTAGGGCATTTCTGTGAGAACTACGGATCTAGGCGTGCGATTTAGGGATTGAATGGATTAGGGATTGGGAATTTAGGTGAGAAATAGTTGGTAATTGGATGAGAGAGAAGGCAGAGTCGGTTTCCCAGGAGGGAGCCGCCGACGGTGAAGAGAGGGGAGGGAGGTTCGGCTAGGTGAGATAGAGAGAGAGAGTGAGTTTGGGAACAATTCTGTGTTATTGCTTGCCCTTGACCTAACATAACATGACATATATATAAATCGACTATTTCCTGTTTACTACCCAAATAATTAACCTAACCGAATAAACCCTCATAATTCCCGCCCTAGCACAATATCCGAATAATACGCAAATAACAAATAAACCCCAATAATTATGTTTCTCACAATCCATCCCCCTTGAAACCCACCTTGCCCTTAAGGTGGCCCATCTTTCTTGTCTTCCTCCTTCATTTCTCCTCCTTCGGCTCCTAGCTCCATGATAGGTCAAAAGCGTATATGCCTTAATCCTATCTTGTAGTAAAACCGGAAATCCGGGTATCTCCTCTCAAGGACTGGTACAACCTTATGATTTATCAATTCTTTCGAGCAAACTATATGTGAAAATGTTTAAGAGATGAAATTATTAACTAAAAGCAAAATTAACTAAACTAATTAAGCAAAGTAAACTTGTCGAGGAAAATTCAATGGGAGAAAGCTCTGGGAGAAACACCGGGATTCACTACCTATCCTATCCAGATTAATTCACATATTCCAATCAATTTAATCCAATTCTCTACAGCCAGGATATCACGAATGTGCTAGCTATCCCTGTCGGGAATTACTACGTACTAAATAATCAATTCAAATCCTACTGTCGTAGCTCAATGAATTAACTATCTAGCCTGAAGATCGATATCCTATTTAAGACCGCATAGCACCTTATTTAATCCACTGTCGCTTCGATAAGTTACTATGTCACATGAAATAGGCTCGGTTAATAGGGTTTCACTGTCGCTAATAACCTAATCAACTACGATTCATTGTATTGGTGGCCAGTCAACACAAGGCATTAAGCAATTTCATGCAATAGAGATTGGAAGAAAAGAATCACGAATCAATCCATCAAATCAAGAAATAGCTACATCCTATGGTGTTTCCCCCAGAAATTGGGGTTTAGTTCATGACGAAATTAAGATAAATCGATAGGGTTTTGTTCATCATGTTCTAAATCAACAAAAAACAACTAAATTGGTTCAGAGAATCCAACCAATTAATCGCTCTCGTTGAAATCAGCTCAAGCCGCTTGAAAAAAACTGCTCGTTGCCCGATACGCTCTCTGCTGCGCCCTGCTGCCTTTCTCCGCTGCTTTCTTTTCTCTCCAGCTGCCCCCGCCAAAAAGAATTTCCGTTCACCAAAAACCAACCAAAAAAACTCTCTGGTTCATTCCGTCCCTCCTTTTTTGCTTTTCCTTCTTTAATTATTCCGCCTCCCTCCTTTTAATTCAGTTCCGTCCCCAAATTTTGTTCCCCTGGCCAAGAATTCCTTCGGCCCAAAAATTCACCAGCCCAGCTCTTGTCCAATTCAGTTGGACCTGGCCCAATAATTGATCCCCGGCCCAAATTAATTCTCCCCGAGACAAAGTGATTTGGGCCCAATTAATTGTTTGTGCACTGCTTCTTTTTCGTGCTTTCTCCACCTGTAACACATCAAACTCATAGCACTAGGCAGTAATGGTTTTTCAACCATTCTCGGGTTAGCGAGCCCTAAAATAGCACTAATTGGCTAAAACATACCATGAATAATCACATAAAGTCCAAGAATCCGATATATTAAAGCCGAATATCACAACCCCACACTCAATTGTTGCTTGTCCCTAAGCAACGACTCAAAATACACAAACACAAAATGACACACCACAGACGCACTAATCAAACACTCAAACAAAACAAAATTTTCCTTGTACTCTTGTTGTAATCAGTAGTTTCTTTCTCAAGAACAAGTTGTGCTTTAATGATCATACCTTTCACCCCACACTCAAGTTCTTTGCAACCATTACTATTGACTGACTCAAATCCATCAAAAACTCAAATAGCAACACTCAATTTAGATCGTCAGTAGAGGGTGATTAACAACTTATGGTGCAACAGTTATTAGGAGAATCTAACCACATCAGTGAGGTGCATATCTCGTGAGTACAATCTGGCTTACTCACACCAATCATAAGCAATTAATTATGCATGAGTCTCAAAAACTAATGGGGGAAGCCTTTCGCAAACATGATTTTACTTTAAGCACATCACTACCTTTTGTGACAAGGAGAGGCTTTCTCTCTTTCTGCTTTTGCTTGCCGAGAAGTCGTATTTAGTACAAGTGGGATTTGTTTCTTACTACCTGTGACCGAGCAAGAGCAATTTCTGCTTCTTAGCACTCGCATAAGGGCTTCTTTTAACTCCTTTTCCTCGGTCCGTGTGGAGGATCATTTCACATCCTCTAATGGCACTTCACTCAACTGGGGATCGTACTTGATAAGCAACATCGTACGGTCGCGAACCGATTCTCAATTGAATCTTTCCTCATCCCCATGTGCAATGAGTGATTGCCTCACACGATTTTGGCATTTTTACCCACACTTTAATTGTTATGGCAACTTTCTTATATTTTACTTGTCAGGTAGTGTTTTCCTTTATGAAGATACAGTTCACCCCATCATAAAACAATCAAAACAGAGAGACTCATTGCAAAATCAAAAGCTCACAATTGATGCAAGTAAGCACGGTATCCAAACATGTCGAATGGTCAATGTTCTCCACCTAACTACTTCACCAAAAGTCATTACACTATCCTCACAAAAGAGAATGTTGCTAAAAGAGTTTCTCATTCAAAGCATATCAAGTCAGTCAAAACATTTAAGCTCATTGTGAAGAACCATGCAATTCAACACTAGTGGGGTGATTTTGATGATTTCCTTCAAGCACAAACTCATTTCACACGCATCACAGTCATTTACATCATGTTACCACAAGAGTACAAGGTTTTGTTTTTGATTTTTCTGATTTTTAGGTGTTTTTTAGCCATTAGATTAACACAGGCAGACTGCTTTTTACACAGGCAGACTGCATGCAGCTTGCCTGTGCTCAACCTAATGGCAGTTTTTTTTTTTTTTTTTTAAACACAAAACGAGACACTGTGGACAACTGCGACTCGACATAAAACACAAAACACGACAAGAACACAGACCATCCACCCCACACTCAGGATGGACATTGTCCACAATGTCTACAACTACACACGACACACCAATCGGTTCACCTAACTAACATTATACAGACCATCATCAGAAGTATTCACAAAGAAAAGAAGAAAAGAAGAAAAGAAAAGAAAAAGAACCTCGGGACAAGCTCCTATGGAGGAGGGGTCGATGCAGGAGTGCCGAGCTTCTCATCTAGACGCCGGTTTAGCTCCTGGATCTTCTTATCTTTCTCTGCGTCTCTGGCTTCCAAGAGAGCTATTCTGGCTCTGAGCTCGTCTGTAGATGATGGTGAAGCTGGTACGACTGGTGGGGTATCTTCTGGATGCGGAACTGGAGTAGGATGGGACTGCTGGCCCTGGCTGACACTCGAGTCCGAGTGCCTCGCTGCTGTGGGTGTAGGAGCTGGAGCTGTGGTCGGAGTGGCTACTGATGGTGCAGCAGATGATGCCGAAGCAGAAGTTGCTCTAGCAGCTCTTGCTTCTCTTTTCCGATTGACCTTGGTCTCCCACTCCTTGTATTTGGCGATAGATAGATACTCTCCACGAGATCCTACTTTCCTCAGAAAACCCAATTTGCCTAATGTTGCTTCCCCAAGCAGAGTCGAGCCATCACTGATCTCTAAACCCGTAGGGTTCTCCGGGAACCCCCAGTAAGCTCGAGCTAAGGCAGTAATGATTCCCCCACACATAATTGCTCCGCAAGTCTTCAGTGCATCATTTTCCAGCATCTTACCCACCATGTACCCAACACACAATGGTGTTCCAGTAACAAAACTGTGAATGTACCTGAGATCGGTGGTGTAGACACCACTGGCATTGGATCCCTTTCCCAAGACAGTGCGAGCCAGGTAGTCATGTACTAGTGGGATTATCGGGTCTCTGATCGATGCTCTCCTCGAAGAAGTAGGATTGAATTCCTTTCCATCTGCCACAATTGTCGTCCAAAACTCACTCAAGTCCTGCTTTTCATCAGGAATTGCATCTGCTGGACCATCGAAGAGAAGTGCTCGGTTTACTTGGCTCAAAGAGAGGGACTTTGTTTTCCCTGCCAAAGTACTCTGAAGCTTGCTCTCAACCCCATTATCCTCGAAGCTGTATGTGGCCAAGAATGCTCTGGTGAGGTGTGGATAGGTGGGGAAGTGCAGCTCCGGAAATCGTGCCCAATTCATTCGGCGGAAGTATGTCATCACTTCCTCAGCCCGCTCGGTCTTCTGCAATGCTGCATAGTCCATGAACTGAGAAGGGGTGACCGCTCGTTTCATCAGATCGGCATATTCTTCCTTATGTTTCTGGAGCTGGACAGGCTGACCGAACGTCTTAGAGACGTCCTTTGGAGGAGGAGTGCCAGCCTTCTTCTTGCTTGCACTTAGGCTAGTACGACGTGGTGTCGTGGATGGTGCAGGTGCTGAAGAAGAAGACATCTGTGATCGTGAAGATGAGCTCGATTGCTGGAGACGACTCCTCTTTGCTGGCCTGCTCTCCGGTGATACAACTGGTGTTGAATCTGATAATGGAGGTTCTTCAGTAGGCATTTGAGCAGGCTGCTGTGGTGGAGATGGAGTTGGAGAAGTCATCTCAATAGTCCGGGACCGCATCGTGGGTCCAACCTGTCCGGTGATCATCCTGTGAAATCGAGCGGGCATGTTGACCGCTTGAAGTTGTGGGGGAACTTCTGGAATTGGGCTGTCTCTATCGGTCACCTTGTGGCTGTCTTCAATCATCCACGAACGGTAAACAGTCTTCCCATCTTCACTTTGATATGTTACCTTGAACTGCCGAGGTGGAGGGATATACCTTCGACGTACCATATCTGCAACCAAGAGTGCAAACTGGAAAACAAACTTCTTAAACCTCCCCTCTGCTCTTGAACCACTAAGGTTTCACAAATCTGTACTCTGCTTCCCAAATTCCAGTTCACTGCTACCACAATCAGAAAATCCCCAAATTCTGCAACCCACAAATCAACCAATTCTCAAGATGCACCCATAAATCTTCTGCAAATATTCTTCTAGACAGTAATTGCACTTCAATTGGCCCAATCAAGCAATCATCACACTCCAATGTCACCTCAAATTCGAAATTGAGCAAAACCCCCAATTTGAAGAACCCTAATTTTTTGTTTGTTCTTGAATCTTCAACTCTAGGTTGTTCAAATCAGACCTGGGGGGAGGTGGGTGATTGGAGCCGTGGGTGGGTCAGAGGGCCGCCGCGCGGCAGGAGAGGGGCGACGACGGGGAGGTAGGTTGGGGTCGGCGCCGGTTGGCTCTGCTGCTGCTGTGCTGCTCGACGGGAAGAGGAGAGGGAGGGGAAGAAGGGGGGAAGGGGAAGGTCGGGGAAGGAAGGGAGAGGGGAAGGGCAGCAGCCCGACCCCCTTTTTTTTTCTGTTTTTTTTTTTTTTTTTCAAACTGAAACGCGGCGCTGCTGCTAAATTATATATATATATATATTTTTTTTTTAATCCGAATCCGAAACGCTGTGCTGCTGTCGGATTTTTTTTTTTTTTTTTTTTTTAAGAGACACGGAATTTCTCCTTTTCAGTCCCCCCTTCCTTCTCAAAATTGTCAGATCAGTCCTCCCCCCACAAAACTTTCAGATTAGTCCTCCCCCTACATTTGCGGTTTGCCTGTGCTCATTTTGCGGCCTCCCTGTGCAAAAAACAGCCTGCCCGTGTACCTACAAAACACAAAATAATACCTTCCTCAAGGCTTTTTGAGCTGAATTTCGGCGGAGAGCCTCTAGACACACCCTAAAACTAAAAAATGAAAAAAAATTGAAAGAAAAACTCACCTTGGGTTGCCTCCCAAGAAGCGCTTGTTTTGCGTCGCTAGCTTGACGTAAAATAGCTCATTCCAGATGATATGTTGAGATTTCCAGGACGGAAACCCCTTCAATATAGTGCTTGAGCCTCTGACCATTCACCTTAAACGCCCCTTGATCACCAAGAATCTCAATTGCACCATGTGGGTACACTTTGGTCACCGTGAATGGTCCGGACCACCTTGACTTCAACTTTCCAGGGAAAAGTTTAAGGCGTGAATTGAAAAGTAATACCTTCTCTCCCACTTTGAACTCTCTTCTCCGTATGTGGTGATCGTGCCACTTCTTGGTTTTCTCCTTATAAATCCGGGCATTTTCATAGGCGTTAAGCCTAATTTCATCGAGCTCATTCAGATGCAACAGGCGCTTCTCTCCAGCAGTTTTTAGATCAAAGTTCAGCTTCTTGATAGCCCAATACGCCTTATGCTCGAGCTCGACGGGCAAGTGGCAAGCTTTTCCAAATACCAATCTGTATGGAGACATGCCTAAAGGAGTCTTGAAAGCAGTCCGGTATAGCCAGAGTGCATCATCTAACTTCCTTGCCCAATCTTTCCTTGTTGAATTCACTGTCGTCTCCAGAATGTGTTTCAGTTCTCTGTTGGAAACCTCCACTTGCCCACTGGTTTGTGGATGATAGGGTGTAGCAACTCGATGCTTAACCCCATATCTGGCCAGCAACGTGTTCAACTCCTTTCCCATGAAGTGTGTGCCCTCGTCACTGATGAGAACTCGAGGGACTCCGAATCTGGTGAACACGTTCTTCCTCAAGAAGTTCACCACCGTCTTTGAGTCATTGGTGGGCAACGCCACTGCCTCCACCCACTTGGATACATAGTCGACTGCGACTAAGATATATTTGTTGTTGAAAGACGGTGGGAATGGCCCCATGAAATCCACTCCCCATACATCAAACATCTCTACCTCCAAAATCGAGGTCTGCGGCATCTCCATCCTTGCAGATATGTTCCCTGTTCTTTGGCACCTATCACATTGAGCAACAAAATCACGGGCATCTCGAAATAGAGAAGGCCAATAAAATCCAGATTGTAAGACCTTTGCTGCTGTCCTATGAGGTCCAAAGTGGCCTCCTGCGGCCATACTATGACAGAAATTTAGCACTGACTTTACCTCACATTCAGGAACACATCGTCTTACCATGGTATCAGCACAATGCTTATACAGGAAGGGGTCTTCCCATATATAATTCTTGGCAATAGTAATCAACTTCTTGCGCTGTTGATAAGACAAATCAGGGAGCTTACCTGTGGCGAGATAGTTCGCAAGATCTGCATACCAGGGAGCTTGTTGGACAAGGAGAGCGTAAAGCTGCTCGTCTGGAAAAGACTCATTGATCTCAACCTTGTCCTTAGGAATGGCCTCAAGCTCAAGTCTAGAAAGGTGATCGGCGACCAGATTAGCCGAACCTTTCTTGTCCCGAATTTCAACGTCGAATTCCTGCAAAAGAAGAACCCAACGAAGCAATCTCGGCTTGGCCTCCTTCTTTGAAAGAAGGTGCCTTATAGCTGCATGGTCAGTGTACACAACTGTTTTCGATCCCATCAAATAAGATCGAAATTTATCAAAAGCAAACACTACAGCAAGCAGTTCTTTCTCAGTAGTGGAATAGTTCAATTGTGCATCATTTAGAAGCTTACTTGCATAGTACACCGCATGTAACTTACCTTCCTTCCTCTGCCCCAAAACTGCCCCGACTGCATAGTCGCTAGCATCACACATAATTTCAAATGGCAAAGTCCAGTCGGGTGCAGTGATAATGGGGGCAGAGGTTAACTCCTTCTTAAGTCGATTGAAGGCCTGCAAACACTCATCAGAGAAGTTAAACACAGTATCTTTGGCCAACAAATCGCATAAAGGCTTGGTGATCTTTGAGAAGTCTTTAATAAATCTCCGGTAAAAACCGGCATGACCTAGAAAACTTCTAATTCCTTTTATTGTGCTGGGAGGGGGAAGTTTTTCTATGATTTCAATCTTAGCTCTATCAACTTCTATCCCCCTCGCCGAAATTCGATGACCAAGCACTATACCTTCTGTCACCATGAAGTGACATTTTTCCCAGTTCAAGACTAGATTAGTCTCTTCACATCTCTGCAAAACTCTAGACAGGTTAGCCAAGCAATGTTCAAAGCTAGTACCAAAAGTCGAGAAGTCATCCATGAAAACTTCAAGACTCGATTCTAACATGTCAGAGAATATGGCAGTCATGCACCGCTGAAAGGTTGCTGGTGCGTTACATAATCCAAAAGGCATTCTACGATATGCAAAAACACCAAAAGGACATGTAAAAGCAGTTTTCTCTTGATCCTCCGGTGCTACTGGGATCTGAAAATAACCAGAGTAACCATCTAGGAAACAGTAGTGAGAATGACCCGCCAACCGTTCGAGCATTTGATCAATAAAAGGAAGAGGGAAGTGATCCTTTCGGGTCGCCTCATTCAACTTCCTATAATCTATACATACTCTCCAGCCCGTAACAGTTCGGGTAGATATCATCTCATTCTTATCGTTTCTCACTACTGTCATTCCTCCCTTTTTAGGGACAACATGCACGGGACTAACCCAAGTACTATCAGAGATAGGGTAAATAATACCTGCATCCAATAGTTTCATTACCTCCTTATGCACCACTTCTTTCATGTGCGGGTTTAGTCTCCGTTGTGCCTGGACGGAGGGCTTGGACTCCTCCTCTAGAAGGATCTTATGCATACAAAATGTTGGACTAATGCCTTTGATGTCGGCAATAGTCCAACCTAAAGCCTGTATGTGCTGGCGTAAGACCTTCAAGAGCTCCTGTTCCTGCGAATCAGTCAGTGTAGCAGAAACAATCACAGGTAAAGTGGAGTTTTCTCCCACATATGCATACTTAAGGTGACTAGGCAATGGTTTTAGTTCCAATTCCGGAGGCTGGATCCGAGATGGAACCATTTTCTCTGGAAACTTAGCCTTTTCATCACCTTCCACCTGCATAGGCAATGCCTCGAGCATTTGTGCCCTCTTTGACACGGTTAGCTCATCAAGTTCATTATCAGAATCATCAAACTCAGAATCAGCATCATAATCATTGTTCAAAACAGCATCAGTGCATGATTCTATGACATCCACAACAAACACATCACTAGAGTCACTAGGGTACTTACTTGCATGGTATACATTGAATTTTACCTCTTCCCCACAGACTCTGAATGTCAGCTCGCCCTTTTGGACATCTATGAGAGCACCCCCCGTCGCTAGGAAGGGTCTCCCAAGAATGAGAGGTACTTCCCTGTCCTCCTCCATCTCCAGAATGACGAAGTCGGCGGGGAAGATGAACTTTCCCACCTTCACTAGCACGTTCTCCACCACGCCTTTGGGGACCTTTACTGACCGATCAGCCAGCTGTAGAGTAATTCGAGTCGGTTTGATCACATCTTGGAGTCCCAGCTTCTTATAAATAGAATATGGCATGAGGTTTATGCCGGCTCCAAGATCACAAAGCGACTTTGTAAACTCTGTCTCACCAACAATACATGGGATGGTGAAGCTCCCTGGATCTTCCCTCTTCTCTGGCAATTTATTTTGGATAACAGCACTACACTCTGGTGTGAGTGTTACTTTCTCCAAATCAGTCCACTTTCTCTTCTTTGTCAACAATTCCTTAAGAAATTTGGCATATGTGGGCATTTGCTCAAGAGCTTCAGCTAGCGGAATGTTGATGTGCAATTGCTTGAAGAGATTCACAAATTTTTTTGAAGTTCGGGTCCTCCAGGGGCTTCATCAACCTTTGAGGGAATGGTGCGGGTGGGTCATAAGGTTTTAGCTCCTCCCTCTTCGCTTTTTCCTCTTTTTGAGGTACACGGGCAGCATGCTTTTGCACAGGCAAACCGCTTTCATTTTGCCTGTGCAAGGCTGATTCTTCATTTTCTGCACAAGATCTTTCTCCCTGTGCTTCCTCTTCTGCCTCTGGTGCCTTTTTCGAGCTGCTAGGGTCTTCCAAGGCCTTACCACTCCTCAATGTCACTGCCACAACTTTAGCATCTTTTGGATTCCTCTCGGTATTAGCCGGTAATGTCCCAGGAATCCTGCCCTGCATATCCGCCAGAGTTTGAGCCATCTGTCCCATCTGCCTCTCCATAGCTAGCATAGAAGATTGTAAATTATTGTTGATGGCTAGCTGTTGAGTGACAAACTGATCCAGGCCCTTCAGATTATTGTCGGTTTTCTGCATGTGAGCCAGAAGCAATTCTTCAAGTTGTGGTTTCTTCTCTGGTTGAGGTGGAGGTTGTTGTTTCTGCATGCCTGGAGGTGGAATGTTGCGAGCACCATTTGGGTTGTTGTTTGCCCAGGAAAAGTTAGGATGCTTCCTCCATTGTGGGTTGTAGGTATTCGAATACATACCACCCTGGCCTTGATTTCTCTGATTGTTGATATAGTGCACATCTTCCACCTGATCAGCCACCAGTGGACATAGATCCCTATGATGAGCACCTTCACATAATTCGCAATAAACAACCTCCTCCTGTCTACCAAGAGCCAACTTAGCCAACCTTCGTTCGAGTGCATCGAACTTGGAGTCCAGCTTAGCATCAATCTTTGCTTCTAAGCTTGCAACTCTGTCTATCTCATGCAAGCCTCCTCTCCTTCGAATGCCGGTCTCACTACCCCATTCAGTATCTTCAGAGCATATCTTCTCCACTAGTTCATATGCTTCTGGTGCTTCCATTCTTGTGAAACCATTTCGGGAAGCATTATTCAGAGCATCTCGAAATTGTCTTCTGATTCCGTTGAAGAAGATGGAGATCACATTCCAATCTTCAAGACCGTGGCTCGGGCATCTCATTAGAAGCTCCTTATAGCGCTCCCATGCCTCGGTCAGACTTTCATCCTCAGCTTGTTTAAAAGTGACTATTTCCTCTTGCCTCTTCATTGCCTTGGCAGGAGGAAAGTACTTATCCAAAAAGGTCTTCTCAAGCTGACCCCATGTTGTGATGGAACGGGGTGTCAAGTTCTGGAACCAGTGTGATGCATTCCCTAGCAGAGAAAATGAGAACATCCGAAGACGGATGGCATCATCAGACACAGCCGGGCTCTTCATTGTGTCACAAATGTTTGCAAACCGGCGGAGATGTTCATGAGGATCCTCGGTACTTCCCCCGGAGAAGGTGTACCCATTCGTGATCATATTGATGAAGGCTGGGGCAATCTCCATGTTTGCATCCCCAGCCGGAATGACAACACATGAAGCTCGGGCTCCAGTCCTCCGATTCAGACGAGCCCTGATCGAACGATCCTGTTCAGCCATGATGACAGGCTCGATGACGCGCGGCGGTGGTGTAGGTGGTGTAGGGATGACAGGTGGTGTCACCTGCCTTCTCGGTTGACGATTCTGAGTTAGGGAAGGCCTAGGAGTTGTGGATGTGGTAGGTTGCTTCCCTAACTTGACCTGCTTCCTGTTCTGTCGGCAGGTCCTCTCGATCTCGGGATCTAGTGGCAGTAAATTGCCAGTCGTCCTCCTAAGCATGCACGAGGAGGATAAACCTGAAAATTCACCTACACACTAACACCCAGATCAAAACAGTTCACTCACAAAAATCAACAAAAATAAGGTATGGCAGTCCCCGGCAACGGCGCCAAAAACTTGATAGGTCAAAAGCGTATATGCCTTAATCCTATCTTGTAGTAAAACCGGAAATCCGGGTATCGTCTCTCAGGGACTGGTACAACCTTATGATTTATCAATTCTTTCGAGCAAACTATATGTGAAAATGTTTAAGAGATGAAATTATTAACTAAAAGCAAAATTAACTAAACTAATTAAGCAAAGTAAACTTGTCGAGGAAAATTCAATGGGAGAAAGCTCTGGGAGAAACACCGGGATTCACTACCTATCCTATCCAGATTAATTCACATATTCCAATCAATTTAATCCAATTCTCTACAGCCAGGATATCACGAATGTGCTAGCTATCCCTGTCGGGAATTACTACGTACTAAATAATCAATTCAAATCCTACTGTCGTAGCTCAATGAATTAACTATCTAGCCTGAAGATCGATATCCTATTTAAGACCGCATAGCACCTTATTTAATCCACTGTCGCTTCGATAAGTTACTATGTCACATGAAATAGGCTCGGTTAATAGGGTTTCACTGTCGCTAATAACCTAATCAACTACGATTCATTGTATTGGTGGCCAGTCAACACAAGGCATTAAGCAATTTCATGCAATAGAGATTGGAAGAAAAGAATCACGAATCAATCCATCAAATCAAGAAATAGCTACATCCTATGGTGTTTCCCCCAGAAATTGGGGTTTAGTTCATGACGAAATTAAGATAAATCGATAGGGTTTTGTTCATCATGTTCTAAATCAACAAAAAACAACTAAATTGGTTCAGAGAATCCAACCAATTAATCGCTCTCGTTGAAATCAGCTCAAGCCGCTTGAAAAAAACTGCTCGTTGCCCGATACGCTCTCTGCTGCGCCCTGCTGCCTTTCTCCGCTGCTTTCTTTTCTCTCCAGCTGCCCCCGCCAAAAAGAATTTCCGTTCACCAAAAACCAACCAAAAAAACTCTCTGGTTCATTCCGTCCCTCCTTTTTTGCTTTTCCTTCTTTAATTATTCCGCCTCCCTCCTTTTAATTCAGTTCCGTCCCCAAATTTTGTTCCCCTGGCCAAGAATTCCTTCGGCCCAAAAATTCACCAGCCCAGCTCTTGTCCAATTCAGTTGGACCTGGCCCAATAATTGATCCCCGGCCCAAATTAATTCTCCCTGAGACAAAGTGATTTGGGCCCAATTAATTGTTTGTGCACTGCTTCTTTTTCGTGCTTTCTCCACCTGTAACACATCAAACTCATAGCACTAGGCAGTAATGGTTTTTCAACCATTCTCGGGTTAGCGAGCCCTAAAATAGCACCAATTGGCTAAAACATACCATGAATAATCACATAAAGTCCAAGAATCCGATATATTAAAGCCGAATATCACTCCAGTTCCTCTCCTTCGTCTTCCCAATTCCCGACCAGAAGCATTAAGTGCCCCTTGGCGCACTGATGTCCCACGCTATACCTCTCATCACAATTGAAACAACGACCATCCCACCACTGGAGGGCATCCCCTCCAAATAGAAGGACGCCTGATGCGCCTTCCTTTCTGCCCTGATCGGGTGGTTCTTGAACCACCGCTCCGTCGCATATAGCCACAACCCAACGTTACCCATACAATCAAATTTTGGAAATTCAATAACCGGAGGTTTAGCTCTGAACACCAGCTCATCATCATAGTCATACAGAGGGTTTTTGTATCCATACCTGCCGCCATCTGACGGTTGCATTGGGCAACCCGGTCCATAGTGCCGGTATTCGGAATCCGTATTCCGTCTCCCTGGGTAAGCCTAGTCAGCCATCTCCCGCTGGTAGTCTTCCTCGTCGCAAGGCTTAGTCCCGTACCCCTGTCATTCTTCCATCCTACACCCTGTGCGCCCGTGATCTGCTCGCGGAGTGCCCCATAGCGGATAGCCTGACTCGGGACCTGGTCGCTCACGCCTGGGTCTGCCACTGGACCTGCTCCAGCCATTTCCCCGTGGAAATCGTTCCTGTTCGGGTCAAGTCGGCCCGGTTTGGTTCGACCCATCTTGGTCTGACCGATCCTGGTGCGACCGGTGCTGGTCCGACCGGTCGCCCGACTTGGTCCACCCTTGGGTCAGCCACCTAGTTCTGGTCAGGCCCATTGGGCCCAAGGTCCATCCACCAATCTTCTTGGTCCGCGAAGCTCAGCTCATGATCTTCCGGGCCCAACTCTTCAAACTCGACCACCTTCTTCTTCCCGCGGGCCTCATCGATCTCCTGGGCCATTGGAACAGGCAGCATACCCGGCCCACAGAAGGCTGGCGCGGCCCGCTCCTCTCCGTCGTTGCCCGTTCCCCCGACCGCACTCGACCCAAAGGCCCGGCCCTCCTTTTGCATCGCCGGCCCTGACGGGTTAGTGACCGCCGCCCCGGCCCAGTCGCCTGCCGCGCTCCCCTTCGCCACGACCACTCTACCGGTTGCCGCCCCCGATGGCCCAGCCACTGCCGCTGCCGAGGCCCCGTTCGAGCCCCCGCTCAAGCCTCCTGCCGCGCCGCTTGTTGGCCCAGCCTGCGCCGCGACCTCCCCTACGACGTCCGCCACTTTAGCCCCGCTCACTCCCTTCGCCTCCGTCGGCAGAGCTTCTGGCACCGACTCCTTGCTCTTCAGGACGCCGACAAGTACCTCCCTCATGATTTCTGCGAGGGCTCGGCACAGGTTTTGCGTCACGGACTTGCCCATCTCCTCAATCGAGATGGTGATCCGGCCTCCCAGCGCCTCTATGGGCCCGGTCGAGTCCCATGAGGCAGCAACTGCTCTTTCCGTGGACTCCGTTAGGCTTTCCAGCATCGTGACGATCACGTCATACTTGTTCGCCGTTATGTCCTTCACGGTCACGATATCCTTACCCTGCTTCTGCTGTTGCGGCTAGTCCATGTTCAACATCCTCAACTTCTGCAAGGTTCAATAAATCAGCACGCCAGCCAGGCTCTGATACCACTGTGAGAACTACGGATCTAGGAGTGCAATTTAGGGATTGAACGGATTAGGGATTGGGAATTTAGGTGAGAAAGAGTTGGGAATTGGATGAGAGAGAAGGCAGAGTCGGGTTCCCGGGAGGGAGCCGCCGACGGTGAAGAGAGGGGAGGGAGGTTCGACTATGTGAGATAGAGAGAAAGTGAGTTTGAGAACAATTCTGTGTTATTGCTTGCCCTTGACCTAACATAACATGACATATATATAAATCGACTATTTCCTGTTTACTACCCGAATAATTAACCTAACCGAATAAACCCTCATAATTCCCGCCCTAGCACAATATCCGAATAATACGCAATTAACAAATAAACCCCAATAATTATGTTTCTCACAATTTATTTGGAAAATGATTCAATGGTATTTGTTTTAATGAAATTTTTAAGGTTGTTTTAAAACGGGCCATGAGTATTTCGTTTGGTTAAAAAGGATCGGGGCGTTTCAGGATAAAACCTCGGTGTGGACGGTGGGTAGTACCCATTGAAATGAGCTATGTTCTTAATGCCCCAGATACTATAAACTAGATTGAGGTGACTAACATGGGTTTAGGGGAGGCATACTCGGAGGTGTGTGGATAACCACGAGAGCTCACGGAAAAGAGCTTACTCGCCACATTCGACAAACCCTACTTATCTAGACATTATATAGTAGACCTAGGCTAGGGTGAGAGATAGTTCCCCGAAGTACCTACTTTTATCCTTATTTACTCTTTTTACTAGTTATTTCGCTTGAATCCTCCAACACAAACCCTTAAACCGATCGGCTAGATAACAACAACATGCGAAGTAGGCTAGGAAGGGGGTAGTTATTGAAACGTTCTAATTATTGACAATGACTTGCACAGATTGAATCAATCAGTAATTTAAATCCAAAAGAAAATATGAACAATGGAGTCCCAACGGGGACTGATCCTGCTCTGATTGAACGCATCCAAAACCTATAGTGAAGGCTTATCGTACTAGGAGACAACCCACCCCTCACAATCTTCTATTTTGCGATCATGATTGACTCCTACCAGAAACAGGGCCCGAAAACACGATTGCGGATCTCAGGGGCATTAAGCTATCGATCCCATCCTTTTTAGGTTCCAACAATGTCGTAACTTACTTGGATGGGGGAGGAAGATGATATTTTTCTTCCGGTGTGGCAATTATAGTGAATCACAGAAGGTACTCCTTCCCACATATGAATTTACGGATTATGCGGCACAATGGCTGGGTTTGTGAGAAGCCATCAGCCATGTATATCCCAGTTCCACTCGTTGAGCTCGAACTCATATTCTCTGTGGGCTGTTAACCCGCTGAACTCCGGAGCCGGGCTCTGATACCACGTGTAAACAGAGGTCGAGCGCAAGACCTGAGAGTAGAATCACGTTCTTTCCTTCTATAGTCAGGAACCCTAGAGAGAATTTGTAATGAAACAAAGTGAATGGAGGATAATAGCCAAAGTCAGGTGTTTGATCGAGAATAAGCAGAAAATAGACAATGGGCCTATTTGTGTTATTTTGAGAGGCGGCTCAGACAAAATGTTAAGGGAAGCCTGTTCGTTAGGCCCTTGACCCAGGTGAAACGAAAATGCAGATGGAACCTCCTTCTTCCACACTCTGCTTCTGATCGCCTTCCCCTGTATCAACCAAAACTTCAACAAAACCACAGCAAGATTATTAAACAACTAAAGACTAAAACAAAGGCAGCACAGGGAATTTTTATGTGGTATCCGACACAGGGAGAATAAGGATCCCTGCACCGACTAATCCACGGTTGAAGGATCTCTTCATGAGACCTTCAACGTATCACTAATGGTTTGCTACTTCCAAGTTCTTTGTTACAACTCTAACCAAGAACACTCAGCCTGTGCTGGTAAATCACCCTAACCAAACTCTATTCTTGCTCGAGAACAACGAGCAAGCACTCCTAGTTTGCTAAGAAATCACATTGATCTGCTCTCTTTTTCTCAACAAGACTTCTAGCTAATTCTCAGCTCTTTTCTTCTCGTTTGCTTGAAAAAGGTGCCCTTTGAACTCACAACATGTAAGTTCTTACACTACTTCTTTCCAACGTCTCTTTGATGGTTTTACCATTTCTGAATTGTGAGTAGAAAAGGTAAGATGAGCTGATTTGATTTCTTCCCAAATCAGTCCTTTGTCCCCGGCAGAAGTTCGTGCATATCAGCGGGAGATGGAGGCCAACCGAGTGAAGAAAAAGGAAGAGTTCAGTAATGCACATACAGAGAAAACTAGGGATAAGAATGCACACTTGTGGCAGTGCTGGACAAGTCTGTGCAACCTCGCTGGAACAGAGTATGAGAGAGAATGAATTGGGTGGAGACTTGGGGAATAATTTGGACCAAACCAAATTCACCAATACACTCGAGGAAGACACAAGAATGATTTTGTTGGACTGGATTGAGCCGAAACAAGTTGAATTGACAAATCAAGATCGAGCCAAAACTCCCATAGGAACGGTGAACAACGAAACCAAATTGGCTGAATTGGTTGGAGAGATTGAGGTTGATTCGATCCAAACGGCCGATGCAAAATCGTCATGGGATGTGTGCGAAAGGAGTTGGATTGCTCAACTTATCTCAAAGATGCGTGAAACAGAAATGCCAAAAATCAAATTGGAAATTCTGGGCACGAGAAATTTGAAATTTGGCGATGGCGGGAAAGGAAGGTCGGATGAATTGACAATGAAGGAGATGATTCAAGACTGAAGAGTGACTCAGAACTTTAATTGGAAGCATAGCAAAGCGCATGGCAACAATGAATTGGACTGGGAATCCTTAAATCGAAAACCCCCAAATTTTCTGAATGGGTTGAAGTACGATAACAATGTCCGATGACCAGGAAATTGTTCCGTTTGATTTCTCGGAAAATTGGCCGACAGTACAAGTTCATTCCGACTCCAGGAGATGTACCTATTACCTACCTAACTTCACTACAAGCTTCAAACCCCCTAGAATTGATAGTGCATGAAGATGAAGCTGACAACGTTTTGATAAAAAAGATGTTGAAGTGTACTATTTTTTATCGAATTAGGGAATAGTTCAGTGAAGGTTTTGAGCGAAGGAAATTGAAAGCTTTTAGTGAAAAGATTTTTGAAAGGGGGCCTTGGATGATCCAAAGTAGCCAAGCCAAAGAGGTTTTATTACTTGACAAAGAAGCTGTCCAAGTTGGTAAGAAAAGGGGCAGAATTTGGTCGTGTCAAACTGGTGTCATGGTGCTTACTTTGGGGATTCATATCTCACACAAGGATCAGTAAAAATGCAAATTTGACTCGCTCTGACTATCAAAATAAAATCCCACCTACGGTCCTAGTATAAACCTTAGATGGGTGCATTATAGGGCAAGTATGTTTAAATATCGACCTGGGCCGGTCCATGTACCGCTACTTCGATTGTTTGAAACATTATCTAGCGGATTGGTTCTGGTGAAAACAAAAGTCTAAAACTAGATTGCTTTGTAAAGGTAAAATTGATTTGACTCTAGTTGGGAAAGCTTCATGATAATCGGCTTTAATATATCGGCTTCTTGAACTGTATGTGATTTATCCCATGGTATGTTTAAGTCGATTGGTGCTATTTTAGGGCTCGCTAACCCGGAAATGGTTGAAAAACCATTACTGTCTAGTGCCATGAGTTTGATATGTTACAGGTGGAGAAAGCACGAAAAAGAGGCGAGTACACAAGCAATTAATTGAGAAAAGGGCCGGAAGTTAGGAGGGAATTAATTCTTGGGCCGGAATTACTTGGACAAAAATTGAACGGGAGAGCCAGGGACTAATGTTGGACGTGTGCTCTTCTATTGCTGGACGAAGGGAATTAATTGGAGTGCGGATCTGGTGACTAAGTGGGGGTCCTTAGTCACTTGCCTAAGCCCCCCTCAGCCTTTAGATTAATCTAATGGTCCAGATAAAGTGTTCAATTATTATTAAATGAAAAGGGTAGTTTTGGCATTTTCATAAATTCATAAATTCTTAATTTCAGTTTTGTTTTATTTTATTTTTTTCCTTCCTCTCCAACCGCCTCCTTCTTTCACGTTCACAGAGAGAGAGAGGATAGAGATGCGCGATGTCAACGGCGACGGTGAGAGAAGGGCCGACGGCGACGATGGAGAGAGAAAGAAGATCTCGACGGCGTTGATGGAGAGGGGAAAAGGCGTCGCGACGGAGGCGGTAGCATTGGAGAGAGAGAAAGTTGATCTAGAGAGAGGCGATGGCGGAGAGAGAGAGAGGCGATGGCGGAGAGAGAGAGGCAGTGGCGGAGTGAGCTTCGACGACGATGGAGGAGAGAGAAGCGGCGCGGTGATGGAGAGAGAGAGGTAACGACGGCTGTAGAGAGAGTCGGCGGCGGCAGCGGCGGTGGCGGTGGAGAAACATCGTATACGTCGTCTGAAGGAAGAACAGTGATTTGTATAGTTTGTATGTTTTGTAACATTAGTTTGTATTGTTAGTATTTTTGTACAAAATGCCAGTACGATTTGTATAGTTTGTATGTTTTATAATATTAATTTGTATACTTTATATGTATTGATTTGTGCTGCAAATCACGTCGCTTTGTATTGTAAGTACTAATAATTTGTATACTTTATATGTATTGATTTGTGATGCAAAAAATATTACAAACATGGTTGACAAAAATGACAAACATGTGGACAAAAATAACAAACATTACAAACAATACAAAAGAAACCAACAAACATTACAAACATTACAAAAGAAACCGACAAACAGTACAAAGCATACTACGCGTACAGAATATCACTACTCACAATACAGATTGGTAAACTTGTATTACAAACAAATGAATACAAAGTATACAAATCATAACATAAAAGTATACAAACTTGAATAAAAAAAGTCACAAATTACAATATATACAAAATAGTCATACAAACATTACAAACAATACAAAAGAAACCAACAAACATTACAAAATAGCAAACATTACAAACAAACATTACAAACATTACAAACTTGTATTACAAACAAATGAATACAAAGTATACAAATAAATAATTTGTATACTTTATATGTATTGATTTGTGATGCAAAAAACATTACAAACATGGTTGACAAAAATGACAAACATGTGGACAAAAATAACAAACATTACAAACAATACAAAAGAAACCAACAAACATTACAAACATTACAAAAGAAACCGACAAACAGTACAAAGCATACTACGCGTACAGAATATCACTACTCACAATACAGATTGGTAAACTTGTATTACAAACAAATGAATACAAAATATACAAATCATCACATAAAAGTACAAAAGTTACAAATTACAATATATACAAAATAGTCATACAAACATTACAAACAATACAAAAGAAACCAACAAACATTACAAACATTACAAACTTGTATTACAAACAAATGAATACAAAGTATACAAATAAATAATTTGTATACTTTATATGTATTGATTTGTGATGCAAAAAACATTACAAACATCGTTGACAAAAATGACAAACATGTGAACAAAAATAACAACAAACAATACAAAAGAAACCAACAAACATTACAAACATTACAAAAGAAACCGACAAACAGTACAAAGCATACTACGCGTACAGAATATCACTACTCATAATACAGATTGGTAAACTTGTATTACAAACAAATGAATATAAAGTATACAAATCATAACATAAAAGTATACAAACTTGAATAACAAAAGTTACAAATTACAATATATACAAAATAGTCATACAAACATTACAAACAATACAAAAGAAACCAACAAACATTACAAAATAGCAAACATTACAAACAAATATTACAAACAAATGAATACAAAGTATACAAATCATAACATAAAAAGTACTCTCTCCTGCTGGGGAAAAATCCCCAGGAAAATTGCTCTCTCTCTATATCTCTCTCTCTGGGCATTTCCCTGGACAAAATAATGGCGCATGAGGGAGAGAATTCCCTGGGCGGCAATTAAAAAATAATGGCGCGGAGGTTCCCCTGGACCACCGCCGGCAATTAACAACGACCGCCGGCAATTAACGACGGAGACGTGAGGCTCTAGACGGAAACGCTGGCGTTTTTTTTTTTCATTTTATAATTAAAAGTAAAAAATATATATACAATTACTATATTGTCCTTTATTAAATTGGTTTAATTGAAACCCATGGATTTTAATGAGGTTGAGTGGCTGAGAGAAACCCCTTAGTCACCTGATCTTAGCCCGAATTAATTGGCTTGAGAGGAATCTCTACAGGGCGGACTTTCTTTTGGAAAAAAATAGAAAACAAAAGGAAGAAGGGAAATATACCAGGGGCGGCGGAATCTCATTTTGGGGGGAGAGGAGACGTAATTATAAGGGGAAGAAAGAATTAAAAGGACGGAACTCAGCAGGCGAGAGGCAATTAAGTGAGCGGACGAATTCTTGGCCAAAAAAAGCAAGCGCAGAAAGTTGGCTCGCGCGAACAGCAGAGCGGGCGGATTGGCAATTAATTGGGGGCGAAAAAAGCACAGGGAGCAGAGGGCGCAGCGCAGCAAACGCGACGATCGACTTCTCCCAAGGCTTGAGCTGAGTTCAACGAGAGCGATTAGTTGGTTGGATTCTCTGAACCGAACTAGTTGTATATTAATGATTTAGAACATGATGATCAAAACCCTATCGATTTATCTCAATTTCGTCATGAACTAAACCCCGATTTCTGGGGGAAACACCATAGGATATAGCTATTTCTTGATTTGATGGATTGATTCATGATTCTTTTCTTCCGATCTCTATTGCATGAAATTACTTAAGGCTTTGTGTTGACTGGCCACCAATGCATTGATTTGTAGTTGATTAGGTGATTAGCAACAGTGAACCCCTAATAACGGAACATATTTCATGTGACATAGTAACTTATCGAAGCGACAGTGGATTAAATAAGGTGCTATGCGGTCTTAAATTGGATATCGATCTTCAGGCTAAATAATTAAGTCATTGAGCTACGACAGTAGGATTTGATTTAATTGTTTAGTACGTAGTAATTCCCGACAGGGATAGCTAGCACATTAGCGATATCCTGACTGTAGAGATATGGATTAAATTGATTGGAATATGTGAATTAATCTGGATAGGATAGGTAGTGAATCCCGGTGTTTCTCCCAGAGCTTTCTCCCATTGAATTTCCCTCGACCATTTTTACTTTGCTTAATTAGTTTAATTATTTTGCTAGTAGTTAATAATCTCATTAATCCATTTTCACCTATAGTTTGCTCTATAAAATCGGTAAATCTTAAGGTTGTACCAGTCCCTGAGAGACGATACCCGGAATTTCCGGTTTACTACGAGATAGGAATTGACATTACGCTTTTGCCCTATCAAGTTTTTGGCGCCGTTGCCGGGGACTGCCATACCGTATTTTTGTTGATTTTTGTGAGTGAACTATTTTGATCTGTGTTCTAGTGTGCATGTGAATTTCAGGTGTATCCTCCTCGTGCATGCCAAGGAGGACGATCGACAATTTACTGCCACTTGATCCAGAGATAAAGAGGACCTGCCGACAGAACAGGAAACAGGTCAAGTTAGGGAAGCAGCCTACCACATCCACAACTCCTAGGCCTTCCCTAACCAAGAATCGTCAACAGACAGGGCAGGCTTCATCACCTGTCGTCCCTACACCACCACCACCTCGTGACATCGAGCCTGTCATCATGGCAGACGAGGATCGATCAATCAGGGCTCGTTTGAATGGAAGGACTGGAGCCCGAGCTTCATGTGTTGTCATTCCGGCTGGGGATGCAAACATGGAGATTACCCCAGCATTCATCAATATGATCACTAATGGGTACACGTTCTCAGCGGCTAGCACCGAGGATCATCATGAACATCTTCGCCGGTTCGCGAGCATTTGTGATACTATGAAGAGCCCGACCGTGTCTGATGATGCAATCCGTCTTCGGATGTTCTCATTTTCTCTGTTAGGGAATGCATCACACTGGTTCCAGAACTTAACACCCCGTTCCATCACGACATGGGGTCACGCCTTGGCAATGAAGAGGCAAGAAGATATTGTTACTTTTAAGCAGGCTGATGATGAGAGTCTGACTAAGGCATGGGAGCGCTATAAGGGGCTATTGATGAGATGCCCAAGCCATGGTCTTGAAGATTGGAACGTGATCATTATTTTTTTCAATGGAATCAGAAGGGAGTTTTGGGATGCCCTAAATAATGCTTCTCGAAATGGTTTCACAAGGATGGAGGCTCCAGCAGCATATGAACTGGTAGAGAAGATCTGTTCAGAAGCCACTGAATGGGGTAGTGAGACCAGTATTCGAAGGAGAGGAGGCTTGTATGAGATAGACAGAGTTGCAAGTTTAGAAGCAAAGGTTGATGCTAAGTTGGATTCCAAGTTCGATGCACTCGAACGAAGGCTGGCCAAGATTGCTCTGGGTAGACAAGAGGAGGTTGTTTCATGTGAACTTTGCGAGGGTCCTCATCACATGGATATGTGTCCACTGGGAGCTGCTCAGTTGGAAGATGTCCAATACATCAATAATCCGCGAAGTCAAGGCCAGGGTGGTATGTATTCAAATACATATAACCCTCAATGGAGACATCACCCCAACATGTCATGGTCGAATAATAATCCAGCTGGTGTTCGAAACATCCCACCTCCTGGTTTTCAACAGCAGCAACCTCAACCAGAGAAGAAGCCCCAACTGGAAGAGTTGATTTTGGCTCATATGCAGAAAACAGATAATAATTTCAAGGGTCTTGATCAATTTGTCACTCAACAGCTAGCCATCAAGAATAATATGCAATCATCTATGCTAGCTATGGAGAGGCAAATAGGCCAGATGGCTCAAACTTTGGCAGATATTCAAGGTAGGATTCCCTGGACTTTACCAGCAAATACCGAGAGGAATCCGAAGGATGCCATGGTTGTAGATGTCACATTGAGGAGTGGAAAGGCCTTGGAGGATCCAAAGAGTTCAAGGAAGTCAACAAAATCTGAAAAAGAAGGAGTTGCAGAGGTAGAAGATGAAGAAAGTGCAAAAGCTGAAAAATCGGACTTGCACAGGCAAACTGCATGCAATCTGCCTGTGCATGAGCATGCCGCCCGTGCAACTCCAAAAGTGGAAAAATTGAAGAAGGAAGAGGTAAAGTCTTATGAACCTCCCGCACCATTCCCTCAAAGGTTAATGAAGCCCATGGAAGACCCAAACTTCAAGAAATTTGTGAATATCTTCAAGCAAATTCATATCAACATACCGTTGGCGGAGGCACTTGAACAGATGCCTACATATGCTAAATTCTTAAGGGAGTTGCTGACGAAGAAGCGCAAATGGGCTGATCTGGAGAAGGTAACCCTTACTTCTGAATGTAATGATGTGATTCAGAATAAATTACCAGAAAAGAGGGATGATCCAGGCAGCTTCACCATTCCATGTGTCATTGGAGGTACAGAGTTCGATAAATCACTTTGTGATCTTGGAGCAGGAATTAATTTGATGCCGTACTCAGTCTACAAGAAATTGGGATTGGGAGATGTTCTTAAGCCTACTCGGGTCACTCTCCAATTGGCCGATAGATCAGTAAAAATTCCAAAGGGAGTGGTGGAGAATGTATTGGTGAAGGTGGGGAAGTTTATTCTCCTGACATATTTTGTTATTCTGGAGATGGAAGAAGATCGGGGAGTGCCTCTCATTCTTGGTAGACCTTTTCTAGCCACCGGCGATGCACTCATCAATGTTGGGAGAGGCAAGTTGACATTCCGAGTAGGTAAGGAGGAGGAAATTTTTAATGTCTTTCAAGTTCACCATAATCACGATGCATTTGATGACTTTGAAAGTGGATCTCGAGAAAGGAAAAATTCCTCTTCCTATGATAGTGGACCATCCGAAGAACTATCACCTATCCTATCTGCTCAGATTCTAAAGTCAAAGCAAGGGCAGAAATCCTTGCCAGGTCACCTCAAGTATAGATATTTGGGTAAGGATTTCAATCTTCATGTTATTATTCCTTCTTCACTGACATTGAAACAGGAAGAGTACCTGCTTGAGGCGCTGCAGTACCACCTACGCCTCACTAAAGGGTCTAACATGCCAGCTAAGAAGGTCATACCCAATTTTCGCACACCTGGCCCTGCAGAGGTGACTCATATGTTGGATGGAGGTTATGCGTTCTATCATTGCTCGGGAGGGTATTCTGGATACCTTTCCATACCCATTGGTTGAAAGCTCCATGAACGTCAGGCTGAGGACGTTAAACAAGCGCTTCTTGGGAGGCAACCCAAGGTAAGTTTTCTTTTCTTTATTTTTCTTTTTAGTTGTGTCAAACCCGTGCATGTTTAGATTAGGAGTTGAACATTAGGGACAATGTTCCATCCTGAGTGTGGGGTGGCGAGTCTTAGCGTTTATTTGTTCCTTTTGTCACGTGGTCGGTAAAAAAAAAATTCCAAAAAAAAAAATTGCCATTAGGTTGAGCACAGCCAAATTGCATGCAGTTTGCCTGTGTAAAAAGCAGGCTGCCTGTGCAAAGTTAATGGCTAAAAAACACCTAAAAATCAAAAAAATTAAAAACAAAACCTTGTACTCTTGTGGTAACATGATGTAAATGACTGTGATGCGTGTGATATGAGTTTGTGCTTGAATGAAATCATCGAAATCACCCCACTAGTGTTGAATTGCATAGTTCTTCACAATGAGCTTAAATGTTTTAACTGACTTGATATGCTTTGAATGAGCAAAATTTTTTTAGCAACACTCTTTGTGAGGATAGTGTAATGACTTTTGGTGAAGTAGTTAGGTGGAGAACATTGACCATTCGACATGTTTGGATACCGTGCTTACTTGCATCAATTGTGAGCTTTTGATTTTGCAACGAGTCTCTCTGTTTTGATGGTTTTATGATGGGGTGAACTGTATCTTTATAAATGAGAAAACACTACCCGACAAGTAAAATATAAGAAACTGCATCAACTGTGACTTTAAGAATCGAACGACCGTGTGTGGTTAGGGGGTCATAAACCGCAGGGAAGTCTAACAAGCAGCCGAAGCTACCCTCTTAGCTTCTAGGTTGAGGAATGGGATAAGATCCAAGCCATTAATGTGACCCTCTCAACCTACCAACTAAGGAATGGTTAGATTTCACCCTCGAATTGGAGTTCAGACGGCCACCCACAACCAAAACCTAAGCACTAATGTGAATTAGGAGGTTTGCCCTTTAACTAACCAAGAATAGGAGGCAAAGAATGCCCAAGGAAACCCATCTCTAATAGAGACTCTTAAGTTAAGGAGGTTTCTCTCTAAACTAGATTAGGAGGCATTGAATGCCCAAGGAAACCCATCTCGAAATGAGCCTCTTAGGTTAAGGAGGGTTCTATCTAAACTAGTTTAGGAGGCATTGAATGCCCAAGGAAACCGAGCCTCTTGGGTAAAGGAGGTTTCCTCTCTAAACTAGCCTAGGAGGCATGAACTGCCCAAGAACACCTGTCTCAAATTGCGCCTCTTAACCTAAGGAGGTTTCTTCTCTAAACTAGCCTAGGATGCATGAAATGCCCAAGACTACCCAATGAGCCTCCTAACCTAAGGAGGTCTCCTCTCTAAGCTAGGTTAGAATGGCAATTAGATTGATAGGCATTCACATAATTGTAGGGTTTACTAACACCCAAGTGAAAAAAGGGACTACTTCATGCTAGAAGAAGGGAAAACATAAGAGAGGGAAAGGGAAACCATCAAGAAGATGCAATCCTTGCTCCTTGTGCTGAAGAAATCGTCATTTGGAGAAAAATTCCCAAAACCATGCTTGGAGAAGAAACCCTAGCTTTTCCTCTTCTTTGGTTCGTCACTTTATCACTCTAAAATCTTTGATGGTTTTACCATTTCTGACTTGTGAGTAGAAAAGGTAAGATGAGCTGATTTGATTTCTTCCCAAATTAGTGATTTGTCCCGTTGAAATGCTTGAGCAGAGGCATTGATAAGCTTTCCAAATTAATCCTTTGTCCCGTTGAATAGTTTGAGCGGAGGTATTGACAAGCTTCCTCCAACATGCTCCCCCTAAGCTTGTCAATGGCTCTTTTACTGCTACTTTCCATTTTTATACTTGCACACACTCAGCAAACAAGTCGGTGCAGCGTGTTCTACTAACATGATTCAATTTTCACTCAAGATGGCATTTTATTCATTAAGAAACTTGAAAAACAATACAGGGAGCAGCTAAGGCTGGTTTTTGCTCTAGGTGACATAGACCTAGATACTAGACAGAATCCTAAGGAGGCTCCAAACCCATCTAGAAGGGATAGTGAGGAGGTGAATCATAATCTGAGATGCCAGCATTGTCTTCAGGCTCTTCGACAGCTTCGTCCTCCTCTCTGATTCTGGAAGTGCTTGCTCCCCCTCCATCCTTGAGTAGTTTCAATCGGGTAGATAGAGAAGCCAGAGTAATAAAAGGTATCTTGCGCTTTCCTTTAAAGTTCTAACTGGAAAAACTAGTGAGTTCTTGGTCGATGACAACTTCTGCAGCAGACACCAAGGCTTTGATCAATGTAGCAGCCTCTCCCCCTGAGGCAATGACAGGCTTTCGGGGACCAACTCTGGCATCCAAACGAGCAAGGACATGTGGAGCCTTCAGATCATCATGAACATTGCAGAGAGTGACCTTATCGCGAAGATCAATGCCCAATTTTCGGAGCAGCTGAGTGATAAGAGGTGCCACAGGCAACCACCCATCGTTGTTGTCATCTCCATACTGGACCAGGTGGCAGAATACCAGTGATGCATAGCTGATGCATTGTCCTGAATGGGCATGATGAAGGATCCAGAGATCGGAGGTATGAAGCAAGGTCGCACTCGAGAGGGATCTAGGAAGGAGAATGAGGGTGATGAAGAAGTGAAGAACGCGCAGTTCATCAGGGAGACGGCCAGCAGCGTGCAGATTTGGAAAATAACGACCAATATCGTGAGCAATATCATCCAGGACATGGCAGTAATCGAAATCATGGTCACGAAATTGTCCATCATTACCTGCCCTGAGGCTGTCATGTGGGACCCAAGTTCAATGGCAAGCAGATCTGCAGTGACCATAATCTCAAAGTTCCCAATAGTTTTTTTGAAGGAATAGAGATCTGGTCCTGACCCACGCTTGAGATTGACATAGAACAATCTCACAGCCTCCGGAAAGTACGTAAAACGCTGATCTTCGAACAGAGATTGCCAACCAAGGTTGCGAATCAAGCAAGAGATATCCATGTCATATCGTGAAAAGGCAGAGGGTTGGATGGTGAAGGATGTATAGATTGCACAATTGCGGAAGCAACACACATATCTAGAGTATTCCTTGTCTTTTATGAATACCTTGTTGGAGAAGGTAACGGCAGGATGAAGTTGGGCATTGTTTAGCACCATGACTGAATGGATACTGAGAAAGAAGTGTTTCGAAGAGAATAGGTTTGATGGTGAAAGAAAAGGATCCCTGACAAACTTATAGGAATGAGAGGAAGAGACATGGTAATGTGCCTAAGTGGCAAGAATCCATTAGCTGAGTAGAAGAGGACAAGAAAGATCAATTAGAGATCAGATGAGGCAAGAAAAGGTTCTACTTATAATTAGGCAGATCCTGGAGAGAGAAGAGCCCTAATTCACTCCTAATATGTAGAAACTGATCAACAGGCAAGGGTTTAGTAAAAATATCGGCCCATTGACACTTTGTCCTAATGAAATCAAGATGTATCTTACCATCTTGGACTAAATCTCGAATGAAATGATAGCGGACTTCAATGTGTTTAGTCCGAGAGTGTTGAATAGGGTTTTTGGACATGTTTATAGCACTATTATTGTCACAGAAGATAGGTAACGATCCTAAGGAGAGGCCATAATAAATTAGTTGATACTTTAGTTGCTGAACCAAGAGATGAGAGAGGATCCAAGGAAATGACACGCACCAGAGGTGCTTTTGCGATCAACTATACAACCTGCATAGTCTGAAACTGTGTAACTATTGAGATCTAGGCTAGAGTGTTTGGAATACCACAGGCCTAAGTCAGGGGTTCCAGCCAAATAGCGAAAGATTCTTTCACAGCAGACAAATGACTGTTTTTGGGCAGACTTTGAAAGCGAGCATAGACGCACACACTATACATTATGTCAGGGCGGCTGGCTGTCTAGTATAAGAGTGAACCTATCATTCCTCTATATAGCTTATGATCTATTTAATGCCAGTTTCATCCTTAGGGAGTTTGGTGGAGGAGCCCATGGGAGTAGAAGCTGATTTGAGATTCTCATAATTAAAACGCTTGAGCATATTATGAAGATATTTACTTTGATTTATGAAGGTTCCTGAAGTGGTTTGTTTAACTTGCAATCCAAGAAAGAAGTTAAGTTCACCCATAAGACTCATTTGAAAGGCACCCTTCATTCTGTTTTCAAAGGCACAACACAGTTTTGGACAGGTAGACCCAAAAATGATATCATTTACATAAACTTGTACTAACAAAGTATGACCACCTGAGTTTTTGATAAACAAAGTTTTGTCAACCTTCCCTCTGTGAAAACCATCATCTGACAAAAATTGTCTTAATTTATCATACCAGGCTTTAGGAGCCTGTTTAAGACCGCATAAAGCTTTATTTAGTTTGTAAACATAGTCTGGATGTTCTGAGCTTTCAAAACCAGGGGGTTGAGATACACACACTTCCTCTTTTAGATCACCATTTAAAAAGGCACTTTTGACATCCATTTGGAATGGTTTAACACCTTTTGCTGCTGCAAAAGCACAAAGAAGCCTTATAGCTTCTAATCTAGCAACTGGTGCAAATGTTTCATCAAAATCTATCCCTTCTTCTTGATAGTAACCTTGAGCTACTAAGCGAGCTTTATTTTTCATTATAATATCAGCTTCATCAGTCTTATTTTTATAAACCCATTTTGTTCCCATTATAGTTCTATTTTCAGGTTTGGGAACTAGATCCCAAACTCTGGTTCTTTCAAACTGATTCATTTCATCATGCATAGCTACTGTCCAAAACTCATCTTCTAGTGATTCATCTATATTTTTAGGAAGAATTTGAGAGATAAAAGCAATATGTTCTGGATAAGCCTTGGAACGAGTTACCATACCTTGATTTAAGTCACCAATGATTTAAGAGGTGGGATGTCGTTTTTGAATATGTGGTGGTGCTTCTTGTCTGTCCAATATTGTATTCTCAGTAATTGGATGTGTCTCTGTACTTATAACTCTAGAGTCTTTGACTTGATTGCTACCGATTCCAAAATCATCATCATCTTCTATTATCTCTGCATTCTTACTCACAGACTCATCAAATATAACATTAATGGACTCTTCTACCTTGAGAGTCCTCTTATTAAATACCCTATAAGCTCTACTCTTTGTAGAGTAACCAAGGAAAATTGATTCATCTGACTTGGAATCAAATTTTCCTAGCACATCCTTTGTATTTAGGATGTAGCACTTGCATCCAAAAGGATGAAAATATCCCAAATTGGGTTTTCGATTCTTCCAAAGCTCATAAGGAGTTTTGTTTAAGTTTAACCGAATTAAAGCTCTGTTGATCACATAGCATGTTGTATTGATAGCTTCATCCCAGAATTTCTTTGAAACTCCATAGTCATTAAGCATGGTTCTTCCAATTTCAATTAGGGTTCTATTCCTTCTCTCAACTACACCATTTTGCTGTGGTGTTATGGGAGCTGAAATTTGTGAAAAATTCCATGTGTATTACAGAAATCTTCAAAATTTTCTGATTCAAATTCACCACCATGGTCACTTCGAATGTTTACTATCTTAGACAGTTTTTCATTTTCAACCTGGTTGACAAAGATTTTAAATTTTAGAAGGGCTTCATCTTTGCTTGAAAGAAATAAAACCCAAGTAAACCTAGAGTTGTCATCAACAATGACAAAAGCATAATATTTCCCTCCTAAGCTCATAACGTTACTTGGACCAAAGAGATCCAGATGTAGAAGTTCAAGGGGTCTGTTAGTAGAAAGAATTTGCTTAGTTTTGAAGGAAGAGCGAGCATGTTTTCCTTTTGCACAGGCCTCACTAAAGAACTCCTTTTTTACTGTGAATCTTAGGGACACCTCTGACTAGATCTAGATTGACCAATTTAGACAGAATTCCTACACTTATATGCCCTAGCCTACGATGCCATTCGAGTTGATCATCTTTGTCAATTGTTATGAAACAAGATTCATTGAGGGTCTTTTTGTCATTTAAATCAAAGATGAACAGTTTCCCTCTACGTTTTCCAGTGAACAAAATCTTCTTGGTTAGAATGTTTTCAACAACACATCCGTTTGGTTCAAAAATGACTCGGTTTTCATTTTTACACAGTTGGCTTATTGACAGTAAGTAGTGTTTTAAGTCTTTTACAAATATAACATTACTTATAGAGGGTGAGTTACCTATGGTTCCTTTTCCTAGAATTTATGTACTATAATTATCACCAAAATAGACTTTACCTTTCTTTCTTAGGGTGAGATCAGTGAATAACTTTTTATCCCCAGTCATATGATGTGAGCAGCCACTGTCAAGAATCCAAACACTGCCTTCCATGCTCACTTGGAGACAGGTCTGCCAAAGAAATGGATTACTTATATTTAGGTCTCCAAACTAACTTGAATTCCTTCCAAGACTGATAGTTTTTATACATTCTTTGTGTTCATGTGAGAAATTTAAAGAATTCTTGACCTTGATCTCTTTAGTTTTGATGTGTTTTTGTTTTACATTGGCAAATTCATGTTGAATATCTCGAATTGTATCTAACATTTGATCATCTTCACTAAAGGAATCAGAGTAGTAGGATTTGACCTGGTCGATATCGTCATCCTCTGATTCTTCACCAATGGTCATGTATGCCTCTTGCCTGCATACTTCTTCTTCTTCTTCTTCTTTACTGCAACTCCAAGTAGCAGCGTATGACTTTTTCGTCAGTAGGCAGTCCGCTTTTATGTGTCCCATTTTTCCACATTTTTAGCAGCTTGGTTGTAATTGGACCCTCTCATTGCTTCCTTCTCTTCTATTTTGGTATCCAAAACGATTTCTTTCCTTTTGATCTCTATTGTCTTCTGGCTTGCTTGGTGAATTCCCTTTTCTTTTTTTTCTTTACGCATCTTTAGCAGTCTAGCAACATACTTGCTTAGCAATGCTAGTTCGTCATCTTCCATGTCTTCTAGGCCATCCAAGTCTTCTTCATATGATGAGTCCTTGAAAGCTATATTCCGCTTTTCCTTTTTAGGCTCATCTACTTCTTCTCTCCTTAGTTTCTCTTCATGAGTTATCAAGGAACCTATCAACTAGGGCTATCATTTCGGTTGCCGTTAACCGCCAGTTAGCGGCTAACCGGCCGGTTTAACCGTTAATCGCCGGTTAGCGGCTAACTAGAAACCGAAAAAATGAAGGGGAGGTCGGTTTTCGGAGCGGTTACTGGTTAGGCGGTTAGCCGGAAAACCGACGCCGGTTAACTGGCTAATCAAAGCTAACCGACCAAGAAAACGACTTCGTTTTGCCTAATGGAAAGCACTCCAATTCCCCCTACCCTAGCACTTCTTGGCCTTCATTCTTTTCTCCCTCAATCCCTCAGACCCGCCCAACCGCCTCGCCTCCACCCTACCACCCCGACGAACTCCTCCTCGCAACTTCGTTCCACCTCCCACCCTTCACCGTGCCGCCCGTCACCCGCGGCGAAGACTCCCCTCCCCTGTGTCTCGCCGCATCCACAGTGCCACCACGCCGCCCGCCCGTCAGGCCGTCACCAATCGCCTGCCTCCCATCACCGTGCCGCCCGCCAGGGAGAAGCTCGGCGCCAAGCAGAATCAGGAAAGAGAGAAGAGGAATTAGGGCAGAAGGCTAGGACGGATAAGGGGAGAGGAATTAGGGCAAAATGCTGATTGAATTAGAATGATGATTTAGAGTGAGAGGGAAAGGGAAGAGGAATTAGGGCGGAAGGCTAGGACGGATAAGGAGGTGTTTGCGAGGGAGAGGATGGAGTGAGGGGAAGCGCATTTGAGAGTGAAGGAAGGGTGGCCGCAACCAGGGGGAGGAGAATGGGTACGGCGGCAGCGACGGGAAATCGGAAATGCCGGGCAGGGAGTGGAATGTTTGGAGTTGCAGGAGTGAGATGCGTTGGAGAGAATGAGAAGGAGGAGGAGTTGGAATGGAGGACGTAGGCGAGGCATCAATGGAGATTTTTTTGGAGAATGGTCGGTTTGCGGCTAACCAAGGCTGGAGGAGCGGTTGGTCGACGGTAGCAGCTGGTCGTGTCTTAGTTTAACCGAAAACTGAGATTTTGGTTTTTGGTTAAACCGAAACCGACCGACTGCCACCCCTACTATCAACTCATCTAAGCTGAGTCTGGTGATATCCTTTGACTCTTCTATAGCAGTTA